ATGAATCATTGTTCTTGCTATGAGTACAGGTCAATAGCTAGCCAGTTAGGTGAGGTGTCTGCAGTTTGATCCATATGAAGTTGTGTACCATTCTCAGATGAAGAGTAATTTCAGATTCTCTTGCTTATTGGGTTAGGAAGGATCTTGGTTGCTGGTAAAGAAAAAGAAACCTGTCTTAAATGATGCAATTAAATGTACTAAACCCTGCACATTGAAACACAGTGTTGTATAATAGGAAGAGTGTTGGGTGTAGAGCAGGGAGAGCTGGGTTCAAATCCCAACTCAGTCAGTGGTTTTACTGATGACCTTGCACAAATCTTGGTCTTACACACTCCACAGTGGTGTGATGAAGAACAGGAATAATCTCATGCACTGCACCTTGACCTTCTTGGACAGAGTGCTGGAAACAAATGTGATAAATAAACAAGCATAGTCCTAAACCTGGACTCTATAATGCGGGTTTCCTCAACTTGGTGCTTCCAGATGTTTTGGATCACAACTCCTATCTTCCTTGACTATTAGCTCTGCTGGCTGTGGCTGAGAGGAGTTGAAGGCATAAGGTTGGGAAGGCTGCTATAATGGATTGCTGGGATGCAGCTACCAACATTTTGCTGTCTCATATTGTGTGTTCCAGTTTTTCTCCAGGGTGTTAGATCAAACTAGCAAATGGCCAAGGAAACTACTGTTCCACTTGTTGCACAGAAATATTGCAGTTACAGGTAGCTATGGAAGATGACACCACACACACACACACACACACACACACACACGGTTAGTAAGGGAATTATAGTGTCACATATTCAATGAATTAGTAGGTTCCTTTTCATTCATGGATCTCAGACATTCACGACATATGTGGGATCTGGTGTGGAGCAAGTGCAGATGTGGGTCCAAAGGAACAATCAGAAGCTTGAACTGAACTCTGCTGATGGGTGGTGTGTGTGCGCACGCCCAGCTCTAAGAGGGCAAGGAGTTTCTATTGATGGGCAGTGAGGGCACTCCTTGTTCTGGGAGCATTTTGGAGGCATTGGCTGTGTGAAAAAGAATTCCCTCATTCATCCAGTGCCTGAAAATGCAGCATTGCCAGCTGGTGGGCAGGAGAAAGAACTTATTTACTAGGCCTATGCTCAGTGCTTCCCAAAGTTCCAGGCATAGAACTGGCTACACCTCTTGTGCTGTGGTTCCCAAATACCAACAACCAACTGGCTATTGGGCATTTGGGCATCATGCACAATGGATTTTGACAGATGGGCCAAACAACACAGCTTTCAGTCATGGGATTTCCGCAGTGATGTCACAGGTAAATTGTTCTGCCCATCTGTCAAAACAGGTCCCTGGAGCAGTAACGATTTTCAACCCCTGGTTTAACTATTCATACGCTGCATCAAGATCAGCAAGTGTGCCAAAGTGCAATCAAACTTATATTGTTATCACACACAGACCCATTCTATTTTATCAAGTGCATTTTTTTTGGATCAATGGACAATAATGATAATGGTTGATGGGATTTCTGTCTTCATGGTTGATGAGTCATTTAGTTACAGCTGTAATAGTTAAGAGTTACTAAGGCCTTTCACTGATTCATACTGCATTAATTTGAGACTCAGAACTCTAGTACAGTGTTTCCCAACCTTTTTTGGGCAAAGGCACACTTGTTTCATGAAAAAAATCTCGAGGCACACCACCATTAGAAAATGTTAAAAAATTTAACTCTGTGCCTATATTGACTATATAAAAAGTACAGTGGTGCCTCGCAAGACGAAATTAATTCGTTCCGCAAGTCTCTTCGTCTTGCGAGTTTTTCGTCTTGCGATGCACGGTTTCCCATAGGAATGCATTGAAAATCAATTAATGCGTTCCTAGGGAAACCGCCTTCAGACCAGGTCCGGGGACAGTCTGTCCCCCGACCTCTTCTGAAGGCTGGGGGGGGGGACAAGGGCTTTTCTTCCCACTGCCAGCCTTCAGAAGGCTGTTCTGAAGGCTGGCAGTGGGAAGAAAAGCCCTTCTTCCCACCTCCCGCCCCGCAAGCTCCGGGGACAGGAGGGCTTTGCTGCCGACCGCCAGCATTTTAAAAGCCCCTGCTGTCCCGGGGCGATTTTAAAATGCTGGCGGGCGGGAGCGAAGTCTCCGCTGCCCCGAGGAGATTTTAAAATGCTGGGGGTCGGCAGCGAACGCTTCGCTCCCACCCGCCAGCATTTTAAGATCGCCCGGGGCAGCGGAGAAGTCTCCGCTGTCCCGGGAAGGCAGGCGGGGGGAGCAAAGACTTTTGCCCCCTCCTGCCTTCAGAAGAGGTCCAGGACCTCGTTCCGATGCCCGGCGGCGGGGTGCGAGGTTCCCGCCCCACCGCCCGGCATCGGGGCATCGTTCCGATGCCGGGCGGCGGGGGGAGAGGTTCCCGCCCCACCGCCCGGCATCAGGGCATCGTTCCGATGCCCGGCGGCGGGGGGAGAGGTTCCCGCCCCACCGCCCGGCATCGGGGCATCGTTCCGATGCCCGGCGGCGGGGTGCGAGGTTCCCGCCCCACCGCCCCGCTTCGGAGCACCGGGAGAAGCGATCTCCCCGCAGCCCCTTGCTTCAAAAGAGGTCCGGGGGCAGCGGGGAAGAAGCGCTGCGCTTCCCGCTTCCCCCGGACCTCTTTTGAAGCAAGGGGCTGCGGGGAGATCGCTTCTCCCCGCAAACCCTTGCTTCAAAAGAGGTCCGGGGGCAGCGCGAAGCGCTTCCCGCTGTCCCCGGACCTCTTTTGAAGCAAGGGGCGGTGGGGAGAAGCGATCTCGGGCGCCGCGGCGCGCAGGCGCACTGCTCGCTCCTCTTTCCGCGCAGGCGCCTTCTCTCGCTCTTTCGCCTCCTTTTCTTTCTCTCTCGATGGTCCGCCTACAAAGGAGCGAGGGAGGCGCCCGCCATGTTTGGATTTGCATCCAGCAGGAGATGCCGCCGCCGCCCCGCCTCTCCCGCCTCCCTCCCACGGCACACCAGGCAAGGTCTCACGGCACACTAGTGTGCCGCGGAACACCGGTTGGGAAACACTGCTCTAGTAGTATGGTACTGTTTGTTCTGGGGAGAAATTATTCTTACTTATATCAGCTTTTCACTCTGTATGTATTTTGATGATACTTTGATGGTTATTTTCTTCTTAAGAATGCCCTGAGACATGAGACTTTTTTATAAGGGCATATGTGTGTGCTTGCCCATGAACCTTTCTCAAAATCAACCTCCCATTGACATTCTGTCCCTTCTGCATTTCTGACAGCATAGTGGTCTTTGCATAGGCTGTCTGCCAGGATTCTGAAAGAAATTTTTTCCCAAGCTGGGATCATGAGCTGCTTTGTTGTTGTTGTTGTTCTTGTTGTTGTTACTGCCTTTCATGAGGAGCAACCACTGCATTCTGAGTGGTGCAAGAAATAAATAAATATGGCCAGTGTGGGGACAATTATCATAATGAGACTTTGTTGCCTGGTTTAGAAAGTATTCTTTGGTAAGTACATCCCATATAAGCAGAGTGAGCTATATCTACAACTGATAGCTCATTCTACATGAGAAAGCCAATAATGTATAGTCAGATGTTGTTAAGGTAACTCCCACTCTATGGGACCTGAGATGAAATTTTGCAGAAAACAAATTTCTGAGCAAATGAAGGGGTTATCGTAAAGTGTGGCTTTAATAACCAAACCTGATCTCATCTCCTTTGGGGTTAAATGATCTTGTGATGTGGACACAATGTCACACCATTAAAGCAGATTAGAGCCACCATTTTACTTATTGAAAAAATGAGGAAGAAAGCCACCCCCTTTTACTGCCCTGTTTTATAAGTACAACAGGGGTAAATCAAGAGTGTAACACGATCCTAAGTATTTACCCAAATATATCATGACCATAAGAATAAGTTCAATCTTTGTATAAGTCATCAGTCACCTTTATGAAACAGGTATTGCCTTCAAGGGCCTTAGTTGCTCCTAATATTGTCAGGAATATGCTAATAAAAACTGTTTTTAAATGACCTTTTCATTGCCTTATTCACACATGCTTTCAAGGAAACCAAATCCCATAAATCCGGAAATAGTTCAGTATAAAATTTTTGCAGAGTGTAAAACTGGCAGGGTTTCACTGGAGTCCAGGGGACTGAGCTGGTTTAGCTCTGTTGAAAGACAGCAGCCCTTGAATGGAGAGGCAGGAGTAATCAATGGCTTTGCATGCAGTGCCAAACATTTTGCAGATACTATCTGTTGTAAAACTGTCATGGGCAATTTAACCTACAATTCCTGGCCATCCCAGTTGCTCTGATAATGTCATCAGCTGAGAGATAACCTTGGTGCTTGCTGTTGTCATGGAAGAACTGCCGAAGCCTGCCCAGTTCTTTAGTGCAACAATATTTTAAGCTAAATAGCACCTGACACATTGTTGGCACCAAGCACAGGTAAAACAGAAGTTATAGCACTTAGCTATTGCCAAACCTCAGACTTTCACAGATTCCAGACAACAAGGAGGAGGGACTAAGAAAGACAACCGGGTGGTGAATTACAGTACCTTATAGGGTACAGCATTGTGAGAATGTAACCATTTCACGGTCCGTCCGTCCCCAGACATACCCCTATACATATATTGCTTCAGAAAAATTCTGCTTAAGTCCCAATTTCTGCAGCAAGTAAAGCTTCAGTCTCTATAGACTATGCATATAGAGCAAATTTGCATATTTATTGAATTTATTTGCTTTTGCACAACCTATGCAGAGCACTGCAATTCTGCCTCCTGTATCTCCTCCTATTCAGTCCTACCTCCTCCCCGGAATCCAAGATTTCTCCAGGCATTGCTTGCACACTTTCAAGCCTTGAGGACTAGAAGTTTGCTCTTTTAAAATGAAAACTGAATTCTCAGGCAGATGCTTTCTGGAGCCTATACCATTTCTGAATTTGTATATTGATGAATCACATGGCTCTGGATATTCAACAACACCAAAGAAAGCAGAGAAGTGTAATGTTTTAATTCATTTGTTTTTTGTTTTTCAGATCTCGTAGATGACCAGGATCTGAGAGTTGACCTCCAAAACCTGCACCTGCCCTAGCAGATACCCGCTCCATCTTGGGCTCCCCCCTGCCCCCAAAATCCCTTCCTACATAGGAGTGGCTGAGCCAGACAGTCTCAATGCCTAAGCACAGCAAGGTGACCCAGAGGGAACAAAGTACTGAGCATGTCACTGAATCAGTGGCTGATCTGCTGGCCCTTGAAGAGCCTGTGGACTATAGACAGAGTGTCTTAAATGTGGCTGGAGAAAATTGGAACAAGCAGCAGGATGTGGATGACACTGGTGAGGATCGGCCAGCGTGGAACAATAAACTGCAGTACATTTTGGCTCAGATTGGCTACTCCGTGGGGCTGGGGAATGTCTGGCGCTTTCCATATTTGTGTCAAAAGAATGGTGGAGGTAAGTGAGCAAGGGAGTATAAAAGTCATCTGTTATGGACACATGTTCTGCTTTCCTAATATAATAATACAAGAGGAAGGGAGCATAGGCTTGAAGGCCATAGGATGCTATCTCAAACTGAGACAGACAATACACAGTACTGACCATGCTGACTGGTAGTAACCCTCTAGGTTTCAGAGAGGATCCTGGCTCTTCCTGGAAATTCTGGGTAAATCATGTGCTCAACCATTAAGCTATAGCTTTCCCTTCAATGGATTGTTGTAGTCACTAGTCTGCATGATCAGGCAGCTCATTAAAGAGTTAAATGAAGAACTGTTGTCCTGAATCTTATGACATGTTCTAAGTTTATCTATTCTATACAAACCAAGACTACTCCGCCACCACACTCAGCAAGTAAGCACTCCTTTCCTGCTTGATAGTGTGCAAGTATTATTTGCCTGGTCATCTTGAGTTCAGGTAACAATTTGTGATGGTGAAAGGCTGCCATTATTCTTGGACTGTGTCTTTTTTTATAACAGCCATGTATTTTCCTTGATTGTGCACTGCAAATCCATGCCTGAACCACACTGAACCATCATTATCTCAAAATATGTGAAATATATAAACAAGCCCTTGCTACAAAAGGCATTCCTCTATAGCTTGGTAATGATTTTCACAGAGTTGAACTCAGCCAACTCTTCTATCTGTTTGAATTTGCCCTAGTTGAGCTGATTATGCACTGTTAATTTATTTCAGATTTACAGGTTGTGCTCTATTTCCTAACAAATTTGCTTTCCATGGTGTGATTCTTGCTCTCTGTGACATAGGATGATAATATTCCATTAATCTTTTTCTTTTTTTTAGCCACCGAATTGCAGGAAAAGCAGATTAAAGGCATAATTGCAAAGGATGACTGTGTAAGGCACATTGCCCTTTGGTTGGCTGCACAGATAGAGGTGACCACTGGTGTTTTCCCTCCTATCAAGTGCTGAGTCTTCAATGTGGTCAATAGAACATTTAAATGAATGGTTGTTGCACCTTGAAGGCTTACCTGCTTTCTGTTAAGCATATGCTTCCTGGATTATCCATGGATGAAGCAAAGTGGAGGCTGAGTGTCAGTTGGGTGTAATGCGACAGGAATGGATTATTGATAGATAGATGCTTTTGTGATAAATGCAATTCCTTGGTTGATAATGTCTGTATCGCTTCTTTTTCTGCTTTTTCTGCTAAAAAATACTGCTGTATGTGAAAGTAGTAATTTGTGTGTTGTTTTCTTCCCAGTAATAAAGTGTGCATATGTCTAGCAGAGAGAACAGATTTTCATTAGGAAAAGGGTGGTATTGGGCCAATTCTTTGGAACATTGTGTGCTCAAGAACTTACAGGATGCTGCTGCATGGGTTGAAAGCTTTGTTGAAAGCTAAACACCCAGGTTAGGGTTGCAAACGGGAACCCTCTAATTGTACCTATAATCTTGTTACAAAACCTGGTTTTCCCATTATGTGTACTGATGGCTACTGTGTGCCCTAAATGTGTAGGAAGCACCTGAGTTTCTCAGCTGACTTGTCTGTCTTTGGAACTGGAGTGCATTGCTTTGCTAGTGTATATGGAATTTTGAAAGCCATTGCCTATTGGGGTCACCAGAGTCAGAGGCAATGACGTAATCAAAGACAAGGCAGTTCCAGGTTCCAGGGAAGGAGGTAGACAAGGACTAGAAGCAGATGACTGGGTCAAGAGGCCCCAGACTAGGCAGAAAAGAAGTTTGAGGCAAGGGAGCTGGTGTGGCTGCTCAGGGAGGCAACTTGTTCAGGGTAAAGAACCAAACCTGTCAACAGTTACATAGAACCAGCCAGGCCCTTACTGGTTCCTCTGACCTAAATTGGTTGGAGAGCAGCCATGCTGTCTCTGACCAGGACTGGCCCAATATATTTTGCTGCCTTAGGCAAAGGACAAGATGGCACCATGCCATTTCCCAGAGAGAAGCTGACTGGACTGGCGGTACTAGCAATGGAGTAGTGTTCGTCATAATGCCTGAAGGCAGCAGGGTAGAGAAAGGGCTCTGCCCTCTAACAGAAAGCACCAAGGAGTCGAAGCCAATAACTCACTTCTGCTGCTGTCTAAATTACATGAGATGTGAAGTTACATGTTTAAATAAGAGTCTTCAGTCTGGCTGCTTTTTCTTTAAAATAAATGGGGCCCTGATCCAGAATGTACTTCTCATTCAGATCAAGGCCCTGCAGTGGTTTTCTGCTAAGAAAACCACCCTTACCTGTTTGCTCTTGGTCTCCACAGTTTCTGTTTCTTGGTATGCTGTGAAATGGTTGGTTTTCTTTATTCTGTTTTGAGGTCTTTTTCATATTTATTATGAGCCCTGCTGGAAATTATTTTAAATAGTGTCGTGGAGGAGTTTTTGGTAGGCTGGGGGGGGGGGGGAACAAGGGCTTTTTTCCCACTGCCAGCCTTCAGAAGGCTGTTCTGAAGGCTGGCGGTGGGAAAAAAAGCCCTTCTTCCCACCTCCCGCCCCGCAAGCTCCGGGGACCTCCTGCCGGGCGCGCGAAGCTTGCTGACACTCGCCCGAAGCAGGGGAAGCCCTCCGGAGGGCTCCCCGTGCTTCGGGCGACAGGCTGCCGCCCCAAGCCTCGCGCACCCGGCGGGACCTCCTGCCGGGCGCGCGAGGCTTGCAGACACTCGCCCAAAGCAAGGGGAGCTCTCCGAAGGGCTCCCCGTGCTTCGGGTGACAGGCTGCCGCCCCAAGCCTCGCGCACCTGGCGGGACCTCCTGCCGGGTGCGCAAGGCTTGCAGACACTCGCCCGAAGCAGGGGAAGCCCTCCGGAGGGCTCCCCGTGCTTCGGGTGACAGGCTGCCGCCCCAAGCCTCGCACACCCGGTGGGACCTCCTGCCGGGTGCGCGAGGCTTGCTGACACTCGCCCGAAGCAGGGGAAGCCCTCCGGAGGGCTCCCCGTGCTTCGGGCAACAGGCTGCCGCCCCAAGCCTCGCGCACCCGGCGGGACCTCCTGCCGGGTGCACGAGGCTTGCAGACACTCGCCCAAAGCAAGGGGAGCTCTCCGAAGGGCTCCCCGTGCTTCGGGTGACAGGCTGCCGCCCCAAGCCTCGCGCACCCGGCGGGACCTCCTGCCGGGTGCACGAGGCTTGCAGACACTCGCCCAAAGCAAGGGGAGCTCTCCGAAGGGCTCCCCGTGCTTCGGGTGACAGGCTGCCGCCCCAAGCCTCGCGCACCCGGCGGGACCTCCTGCCGGGTGCGCGAGGCTTGCAGACACTCGCCCAAAGATTTTAAAATGCTGGGGGTCGGGAGCGAAGCGTTCGCTCCCGCCCGCCAGCATTTTAAGATCGCCCGGGGCAGCGGAGAAGTCTCCGCTGTCCCGGGAAGGCAGGCGGGGGGGAGCAAAGACTTTTGCCCCCGCCGGCTTCAGAAGAGGTCCAGACCTTCTTCTGAAGGCCGGCTGTGGCGAAAGTCTTTGCTCCCGACCGCCAGCAATTAAAACAGGTCCCGGAGATTTCCCTATGGGCTTTCGTCTTGCGAAAGCAAGCCATAGGGAAATTCGTCTTGCGAAGCGCTCCAAACAGAACCTTTCGTCTTGCGGCGTTTTCCGTATTTGCGAGGATTCGTCTTGCGGGGTACCACTGTACTGAGTTTGAGTTTACGGTAGCTTGTGCTAATAGTGGTTGCTTTCAGAGCCCTGAAATGCTTCGGGAGAAAGGTGAGATATGATGATAATAATAATAATAATAATATAATAATATAATAATAAATAATAGAAATAAAATAAATTAATTGTACCGAAGACCTTTTCCTAAAGGGGAAAAAAGAAACCTGGTTGTCATTTGCTTTGATTCAGAGTCTTCCAGTGGATTCTTGTCAGGAGCTGACCCAGTTGTGTGAAGGATTTTTATATCTTTTTGAGAAGCTGTGAGTTGTGTCAAGAATTAACTCGGTGATTTTGTGCTGGGTGCACTTAATCGTTTCCAGCCTGCTTATCTAACTACCCTGAATATGAAGCAGGATCAAAATCCTGCCTACACAGCTTTCCTGTCTTATTAGAATTTTGAACGTGCCAGGAATATTGATTTTTTCTTTTTCTTTGAGTTTTTGGTCAACAGCTCTGTTTTCCAGCATGAGAGTTTTTGGCCTCTCTGGCCAACTGTTTATATTTCTCAGACTGCCCATTTGTTTCGTACTCTCTTCAACTAGCCAGAGATATATGGCCCTGCTATTTAAGTGGAGTCCTTTATGAAGCATTCTCATCCAGCCCTTCCAGGAATTGTTCTCTTTAATTGCATAGCTGGCACTGGAACAGCCATTGTGAAGGCAGAGAATAACCACACTGTATATACATTTAGATATGGAGTGTTAAAGTGATCCTGTGTGCTGTAGTTGCATTAACCTCTCCCTCTATTGTCACGGCACCATTTTAAATTAAGAGACTTGCTTCAAATAATGTTTAGAGACAAATGCTAACTGGAGCTGATGAGAGTTGGATGGGCCTTACAAGTAAGAAGTGGTTGTCTCCTAGGAACAGTCATGGTCACCTTCTCATGCTGGGACCTGTGTGATCAAAGACGGGCATCTCTAATGACCTTTTTCTTTCCTGCCAGGTGCCTATCTGGTTCCATATCTCGTATTGCTCATCCTCATCGGCATCCCTCTCTTCTTTCTGGAGTTGGCTGTTGGCCAGAGGATCCGCCGGGGCAGTATAGGAGTGTGGAATTACGTCTGCCCTCGGTTGGGGGGCATTGGATTTGCCAGCTGCCTTGTAAGTGCTTGCAGAAGGCTTGTGGTGGCTTTGGGACAGTTGTGTGGATGATAGACTGTCTAGCAGACATGTGCATAACAGACCCATTTCCCAATGTAAAGAGGGCTTAGTTATTGCAGAATATAATTAGAAGATACCAGCCTGTGAAGGTGGTTGGTTAGAAGCTCAAGACTGATGCCTTGAACAGTTCTTTTCCCCAACTATGGAACAGGATCAGACATTTACCATCAAGTTCTGATTTCCTTTGATTTCCCCGCATGGTCCTATATATATCTGAACTGAAAGGAAGTGCCCTTCAAGAACGTGCCCTAACTGATCCACTGTTCACACCTGTCAAAACAAACCTCTTTGTAGTTTAGTCCTGATGATTCACTCTGCAGAGGGTCAAGTGATGGGCAGGTGGGTGCTAGCAAAAATACCATTTCCCCTCTGGCATTGATACTGGAACTCAAGCTTAGCGCCATAACTCACTTATGCCCCCTAAGCACCATTGTGCCAGTCAGCATCTTATATAAACTGCTGGGATGACAACCAAAGCCCTGGATCGCCTGTGCAAGAGCAACACTGCTTCCTTGATATCTGGCAATTTTGAGGGAAACAATCACTGGACATGCCCACATCACAGGACAGAGCAGATTTTGAGAATGCATGGGGAGACGAGAGGAAAGAGAAATCCCATTGCATAGCATTGGATATAACCCAGTGCATTTCAATGTTCCATTCTCCACCATTCATTTTAGTATCACTTTGTTTAGAAATATGTTTTGCTGTCCAGGATCCAAACATTTTCATTCTTCTGTTGCCAGGTCTGCTTGTTTGTTGGGCTCTACTACAATGTGATCATAGGATGGAGCATCTTTTACTTTTTTAAATCCTTCCAGTACCCGCTGCCTTGGAGCGAGTGCCCTGTCATAAGGAATGGCACAGTGGCAAGTGAGTACTTCTCTTTACTGCTTTGCATGTGGTAGAAGGGAAATGAGGCACACTTCTTTAGGTGATAAACAGCGTTCAGCTCTGTGACTTATAATCTTCCAGAATCTTATAATTCAAATGTGATAGTTGTTGCAGTAGTAATCAATGTCGGCTGATACCACACAGCGCAGATGGGTGGATGCATTCATTTATCCTTTTCCATCATTGTGGGTCTCAAGGAGAAATAAGTCTTCGCTTGCCCTGTACACTGTAGTTACTATAGTAAGGTAATTCAACATTACTTTTTCTAGGAGTGTTGAGAGTAGCTTCCAGTCAACAACTTAACAATAGTTCAGGTTTGTTTCCAGCTGATAGGGTGTGGGAATTGCGTTTGGGCATTGGTTAGTAGGAAATGGATACTTTCCAAAGAGTGCTATAGAGACACTCTGGAGGTTAATGGAGCATTTAATAGAATGTGAACATCTCCCAGAATATATATAAATCTTTTATAGTGGGTGTAAATTGCCCCATTTATTTAACTTTTAGTTTCAGTGGCAAGATCTTGGATTCTTATTCCTTTCTCCTAATGTAAACTTCTGCATCCTTCCTGAAGTGCCCTATGAATGCTTGTCTCTCCTACTTAGCCTTTAAATGCTGCCTTGCTTTGCTGTGGCACAGGTGTGTCTAAATGAGAAGTCAAAGCATGTAAAAAAACACAACTCCATAGCTTTTGTCCCTTTTCAGCCGTGGAACCAGAATGCGACAAAAGCTCTGCTACCACTTACTTCTGGTACCGGGATGCCCTGGACATCTCCAACTCCATTAATGAGAGTGGTGGGCTTAACTGGAGAATGACTTTATGCCTCCTGGCAGCTTGGAGCATTGTAGGCTTGGCCATGATCAAAGGAATTCAGTCTTCAGGAAAGGTAAGTGTTGATGGTGGCAGCCCAAAGCAGAAGAGATTGCCAGAACCTACAACAGGTGGACCCACTTATAAAGTGGTGGATCCAGGGATGGGAAACCTGTGGCTCTCCAGATGGTGCTGGACTACAACTCTCATCATCCCTTCCCATTGGCCATGTTGGCTGGGGCTGACAACGTCTGGAGGGCCACAGCTTCTCCATCCCAGACCTACAGGTTACAGAAGACAATAACTGCTGTTTGGGGCACAATCTTGTAGCCAGGAACAGTGTTCAACAGCTTCCACACACCCTGAATGGTTCATGGGGCCCAGGTAACCACAATGGAATAAGAAGCTAGGAAAAAGGAAAGGGTGAACACTTTCCCAACCACCTGGTCCAGGAGGGCTTGCTCCATTTTGCTTGGCCTGTGCCTCAGAGCAGCCACCTGAAAGTAAGAATAACATGTGAGAGAGCCCATAGTTGAATGAATGAAGTCAGCAGTACCCGATAGCAATCACAGGCACATCTCTTTTGGGATACGGCTGTTCAGCTTACCTATCTTAGGGCATATCCACATCAAACCAGTTAGCAGTCACTTATTTCCCCATGGAGAACCACAGGAATTGTAGTTTGGGGAGACGGCTCAGGATCTCTAACAGTGATTTCATCAAAGTATTGGCCTGAATATAAGCCACACCCGAATATAAGCCACTCCTTTAAAATGGGGGGGGATCCCCGAATATAAGCCGCTCCCTTCCTCGCTGCTCCTTGTTGCATACTGGGGGGGGGGGCCATGCTGCGTTGGCCAGCGGCCTTTCCCCTTCCTTGCTTTCTCCCTTCCCAGACTTGGGGGAGAGGATGGGGATCTACGCATGGGGCAGGTGCCACTTTGCCACGCTCCTGGTGCCCTTTGCCCCGCACTCCTAGCTGCATACGGTATGGTCGCAAATATAAGCCGCACTTTAACTTTTCACGATTGGAATTTGGGCAAAAAGTGCAGCTTCTATTCAGGCCAATACGGTATCTCACCAAACTACAGTTCCCAAAATGCTTTGTAGAAAGAAAAATACTGACAGAAATTTCCAGTAGGGTAGATTTGGGCTTATTGTTCATCCTTAAGACTTTCTTTATATACAGTCTACTGCTGGATTATATAAAGTAGGACCTCCCGCTTTCTCTCCCTCTCCCCCTCAGGTGATGTATTTCAGCTCCCTTTTTCCTTACGTGGTACTGATCTGTTTCCTGGTCCGGGGATTGCTCTTGAGGGGGGCGATAGATGGGATTCTGCACATGCTCACTCCCAAGGTAAGCCCACCACACTCACCATGTGCCTTTAGACCAGTCAGAGAAATGTCTCTTACTGGGAACTATAGCTAGCAAGAATCCTATGTCTCTGGTGATCATCACAATCCATGCCCTATGTTGAACTGATGCCTCTGTGGTGCTGCTTGGGTGGCACCAGAGCAGAGCAAATTTTACGAAGGTATAGGTGTTGCTTTTTTAGTCAATGGTGCTACTCTCTCTGAAACTGAAATGCTGAAGATTAATTGCTTAGGGCGTGCCAGTCCAGGTCTGATTCATTATTCTTCCTGCTTGGGTCAGAATTGTACCAAATTAACCAGGTTTGTCAAAGGACAGCTGCAAAATGGATCGACTCATTAGCTGTTTAATTAATTCATTAAACAAAGATGTAGGTGATTGAAATTATGAAGCTGGCTTTAATCCTGATTAATTTTGAATAAGAGATTCTAAAATACAAGCTCCAGTGTCCAAGTTCTCATTGTAGGTAGAAAGATTAGCAACCACACATCTTCCATTTGCAATACTGTGCAGGCCCTGTCTGCAAATGGCATCTCCTTCAGGTTTGTCCAGATTCTTGGCAGCAGAAGGTCCCACTGGTATCACACTACACACGATCAGCATGCAATGGATGCTTTAGCTGAGATTCCTGCATTGCGGGGGGTTGGACTAGATGACCCTTGGGGTCCCTTCCAACTCTACAATTCTATGATTCTAATTTGGTAGGGCTCACTTTCCGTGCCACAAACCATGGTGGACTGAAAGGGAGTAAAGTGCTTAATAGTTTGCTAGTACATTAGTTTGCAGAGAGCACTTGCATAGCTTGCTAGCATGTGTGACTATCCTATGCAGTCTATTAAGTGCGTTCTGTAAGCAGCAATCCTTAATCAATAAGGTTAATCAAGCTTTTCTTGATAAAGGGGTGGGGGCTAATTGTAACTGGCAGGGGTCATTTTGAAACACTGCGTTTGTTTTTTCTCAACTTTCATTTTGACACTACCTGTGTTTTCAAGCTTTCTTCCATAGGAATCATAAGCGCTGGTTTTTTGTTTTTGTTTTGCTTTTCTCTTTTAAAAGATTGTGACATTTTTTCAGGGCATGATATTCCATACCTAACTGGGTAAGCCCACAAAGTGCACAGGCAGTAAAAAATCTAAAATGCAATGAAGAATAGGGCATTCACAGTTCTGCATCTGAGAGCCATTTATTTCCATGGGACCTGATTCCCTTTCTATTGTGCCCTTAGGCATCAATAATTGAGTCAACAGAGGAGAAAGATAGAGAGCTGTCTCTAGCATATGCACAGATACCCAGGCAATGGTGTGCTGTTCTCAGCTGCCAGTGTTATACATTTAAATATAAATGTGCCATATGTGTACCAAGCCGAGCATCTCTGATGCAGGATGGATGACTTGGCTTCCCTCTCTTCTCTCCTTACAGCTAGATAAAATGTTGGATCTCCAGGTGTGGCGGGAAGCGGCCACTCAGGTCTTCTTTGCCCTTGGACTGGGCTTTGGTGGAGTTATTGCTTTTTCCAGTTACAACAAGCAGGACAATAACTGCCACTTCGATGCAGCCTTGGTCTCCTTCATCAACTTCTTCACCTCCATTTTGGCCACACTGGTAGTCTTTGCTGTGCTGGGCTTCAAAGCCAATGTAATGAATGAAAAGTGTGTGGTTGAGTAAGTACTCATTCCAGTCTCTCTCTCCATTTCTCTCTCCCCAAAAGGCTTCTCTAGAGGGCACAACCACAGCAGCTATTTTTCAGGGTACCTTATAGTTACTTTAAAAAAAGCATCCAGTGCAGCCGGGTGCAATTCTGTTCTGGCCTGAAGCTTTGATAGCCAGAAACTGTAGTTTCCTTCTGGCCAGGTGGCAACCTAGAGTGCTCTCTGGAGCTAGGAAAGCAGCTTTTCACCTTATTATTTTTGCAGAATGTGTTGTGAAGTAATAGGACTAAATCCTGCCACTTCATTCATTCATTCATTCAGTATTATTCATTCAGCTCATTCCTTCACAATTTTCTCCCCTCCATTTTATCCTCACGACAACCCTGTTAGGTAGGTTAGGCTCAGAGACTGTGACTGACTCACCCAGTGAACTTCATGGCTGAGTGGGAACCAGAACCTTAGTCCCCCTTGTCCTAGTCTGACATTCTTAATTAACCACTGCACCACACTGGCTCCCATCAACTGCTGGGGTTCATTTTGCCTGTTTTGCTGGAAGAAGATGCCCTTCACCCAGAACAAGGTGAACAAGGCCAGGCAATGGCTCTATAATGACCTTTAGCTTCTCCTCCATAGGAACGCTGAGAAGATTCTGGGTTATCTGAATACCAATGTCCTCAGCCATGCACTCATCCCACCCCAAGTGAACTTCTCCCATCTCACGGCCAAAGACTACACCGAGATGTATGGTGTGATAAAGACAGTGAAGAAGGATCATTTTGATAAGCTGGGCCTGGATCCTTGTCTCCTGGAAGATGAGCTTAACAAGGTATGTTTATAGCCAGACTTGCTTTTCACGGTATATTTATAGCTGGGCTTGCTTTTCATGGTCATTTTTGACCCTAGATGCTGGTTCCGCTCTTGTACATCATTGAAGTCTCAGAGTGAGCCAACTTGCTTGGGAAGAGCACATGGTAGAGCTCTCTTGGGATTGTACCACTTCTGCATGGTGCAAGTGGGGGATCTCATGCTCATATGCACCCCAATTTCTTGTTAAAAACAACCACATCTCATTGCTTATAGAAAATTAGCATATTAGAGAGAAGGCTAAGGCAGAAAGCTTGTGATTTCTGTTTAAGATCACTCTTGGTTGCAGTTCTTACCATGTGCTGATGAAGACTTCACTGACATAAGGAATAAGGAACTGAAGTATGTCAAAATCATTGCAAGAATTGAGCTTGTGAGAGGTGGCCGACTATAACAGTGTTATGGAACAGATGTGTTTGGGTGCTATGAATAGTAGAGCCTATGTTTCGTATGCTGAAGTTCCCAAGTTTATTCCCCAGCATCTTCAGGTGGGGGTGGGAGTGTCCCTTGTCTGAAAACCTCAAGAGCATCTGTATAGACGATTCTGAGCTAGATGGACCATTGGTCTGACTTGGTTTAAGAAAGACTCCTGTCTTCCTGCGATTACCGAGGGAGGTGAAACTGAGAAATGAATACATCATGTAATTTCTATGGGATTCATGCATTGAAAAGTCACAACTTCCCATGACTTCTCAGAACATGTACAGATGTAGTGAAATAGATGCTTGTGCAATCATTTGTATGCATTATACATCATTTTCCTTATACCCACAATGGTTTGGCTGTTTGGTTCTGAGAGTCTGTGATTTTACAGATAGAAATCTATTTACATGAATACATGCACACCTGCTTTTATGATGTAATCTTCTGCCCAGAGTAACGCAAGCATCTTCTTTTGGCTGTGTACAGTCAGTGCAGGGAACTGGCCTTGCATTCATAGCTTTCACAGAAGCAATGACCCACTTTCCAGCTTCTCCTTTCTGGTCAGTGATGTTCTTCTTGATGCTGATAAACCTGGGTTTGGGGAGCATGATTGGGACCATGGCTGGCATCACCACACCAATCATTGACATGTTCAAAGTGCGCAAGGAAGCATTAACAGGTAAGTTCTCTCTTGGGGAAACTCTAGAAACCATTCACAGAGTAGCACTGTTGTGCATGCAATGACATCATTTAGTTCTGGCCATGACTTGTGCTACAAAATACGTTGCTGTAATTCTTAAAAGTCATGGCATAACATCAGAGCTGAACCAATGTTTCTATTACTGAAATATATTTGCTGTCCCCCAAAAGAGCAGAGGGATTTGGGGTTAAGGGGTGCCTGTCAACATTGGGAAGCTCACACACTGTGATAATGTGGCAGTATCTGGGGAATTGATGATTTTGGGTCATTTCATAAGACCAAACTGTGGAGGGTTTATGGGTGAGATCTGGGCTGAGTTTGGAAAGTTGCAAAATGATTTTGCGATTATTTCATCAAACCCCCACATTTATCATACCACTACAAAGCTGATCCAAATGGCTGCTAGTAGCATATTCACCGTGCAATCCAAGAATGCTTTGGTTACTTCAAAGTAAATCACATTGGTTTCAATGGATTGTAGCCCAGATGTGCCTCGAGTTATGAATTGAACACTTCATTGCATGCCAAACTCTGGTAGAATCAATTCAATGCACGTGTCCAAATTAGCAAGCTATGTAAAACCCAATTAAGCAACCCATGGGTTTTACATAGCTTGCCTACCTGCCTAGATACTTGCAGATTTGTATGTAGCAGATTAAACCAAATGTTGTGCTTGCCTTAACTCTGTTTCCCCATAGTGGCCAGTTGGGGCTTCTACGTATAGGATAAAATTTCTTGCATAGAAGCCACATGTGGAAAGTTGGGTGAATCCCACACATAGCTTGCCACACACGTGTCTGTTTTACCATGAGTACCAAGTACAGGAGGCGCCAGTGGTGGCCTACTTTTGTCAGGCATATGCACATTAACAAAGTTGATGTGCATTCATTTATCAGCAAGCTACATGCAGGATATGTGGCCTTGTAGGTAAGACATTTTGTCATGTATGAAACTGGCTTTGGAGTTACTTTTTCTGCAGGAGTGATATTATAGCCATAGAGCAACATGGACATACCAACTTGAAGCTCACTGACCCAACTCCATGATATAGGACAAACAGGGGCAACAAATGCATAATTTTTTGAAGTTGGCTCAGTCTGAAAAATCAGGAATCTCATTATCACAGCTCTATTGTATCTTCAGCACGGGGTCATTTTGGGAAAAGGGTGCTTTCGTCAAGTGAATCAAGAAATGGGTGACTCTTCAAGAGGAAGTTAAGTTATAATAATTTTTGCAACAATTCTGCAAATATAAGGAACTTGGGATCTAGTTAGTATTGCACAGGTAGACATGAATTTGGGACATTTTAAATGCTGGACTTCACAGCCTCAATAACACTTAATGAAGAGAATATGTTTCCCTACATCACAGTGAGCAACAATGTGATAACTTTAACACTTTCCCAGATTATCTAGTATAGCCTCAAACTCTCCCCTGTCGAAGTAGAGCGCTTGTCACCGATATACCCTGAAGCACTTTTTGTACGTTTGAATAGCTCTAACATATTAATGCACTGTTTGTGTGTCTGATGAGCTCTAATCTCTCTCTAATTCCTGCCCTTAAAGTCTTTCCCATGCACACGCATCTCATGATACTGCCAGGGGCCCTTGTAGTACGTTGCTGCTCTTTGGTAGAAACAATATTATCAGTTTGCCTTTTGGATCCTGCAGCAGTTTTGCATGCCCTTGTGTAGCTGACAGTTACTGTGATCTGCTTTTTACAGTTGGCTGCTGCATTTTTGCTTTCTTCGTGGGGCTGATCTTTGTGCAACGCTCAGGCAACTACTTTGTCAACATGTTTGATGATTACTCTGCAACGCTGCCACTCACCCTCGTAGTCATCCTGGAAAACATTGCGGTGGCTTGGATTTACGGCACCAAGAAGTAAGCATTTATTTCCAGGAGGGTTAGCCTGTTCATATTCCTACAGGCTTGTCTGAATTCCTAAGCATTTGGCTTTGAATGCTTTGCCCCTCTTACCACTACAATGGGTTTCATTGTTCTTGAAGCACTCAGGCTTCTTGATGCTTCTTTGGACTTCTGGCCCCACCAGAGTTCCCATCCAAATCTCTCCATCCAAATCAAGGGGAAGTAAAGAGCAAGGAACCTCGTGCTTCAACATCTGTTTGCTTTCTTCCTTTCTTCTTCCTAGATTCATGCAAGAATTAACAGAGATGCTGGGATTCCGCCCTTACCGGTTTTACTTCTACACATGGAAGTACATCTCGCCCATTTGCATGGCTGGCCTAATGACAGCCAGTGTGATCCAGCTAGCTGTCAGTCCTCCAGGTTATAATGCCTGGATCCGAGAAGAGGTGAGTTGGCAAATAAAAGTGCATCCCCCAAAGGCTACAAATCCACAGGCTGTGTACCAATTGGCAACCAACCCACATACTATACAGTGAAGCCACAGGGTCCTCGCTGCAAATGGCTGTGATCATTTGTGCAATTGTTAGGCCAGCGTCCACCTGGAGGACAGAGAGGCCTCATCCTTATACCAGAGTACCTTGCATTTCCTCCTGCTTCCAGAGCTGCGGCCGCAGAGGTTGCAGATACACCATAAAACCCAACTAGCCAATATCCTGCTGGAGATGATTCCAGACAGAGCTGGCATGGATTTCTGGTCATCCTTCCAAGGAATTGGGATTGAGAGGCTATCTTAGCCATGTAAAGTGACAGTGGTTGAAATCCCAGTGTTGCAAATGCTCCCTTGCTTTTTAGGGTAGTCCAAGGTTAAGGAGCAGTATTTCAAGGTATGGAATCTGAACATTCATGTAAACGTTTATTTGTTCTGCAGGAAAATTGTTGGTCCAGCTTTGTGTAACTATGGGAAGCTACTGCCTCTTTATTAGCATTTTATTTAAGTGGGGGTTGCCACCTGCAAGAGCAAAATGTTCTAATGCAGTGTGCTCTTGAGAGATTAACTCTTTGGCATGTGTTTCAGGGTGCGTATGCAGAAAAGGGAACAGAGGGGTGAGAAAGACCTTTTGGCAAAAATCCTTTGCATGTATAAGATTTTCCCCTTGCAGTACATGCTGGCCCTTCTCTTGGAGATGGGAATACAAGCAGCATACTTTACTTGCCTTGGTGCCACAGAAATAGCAACTTGATCACTTCAAGGACCTCACTTGTGTCGAGGCTGACGAATGCCAACTGCGTTTTCCCTTCTCTTCCAGGCAGCAGAGAAATATCTCTATTACCCCAAATGGGCAATGGGCATCCTTGTCTCACTGATCATCCTGGCCACCCTTCCTCTGCCGGTCGTCTTCATCCTCCGCCAGTTTCACCTGGTGTCAGATGGTTCCAATGCTCTTTCTGTCACTTACAAGAAGGGGCGTATAATGAAGGACATCTCCAACTTAGAAGACAATGATGAGACACGTTTCATCTTGAGTAAAGTACCCAGTGAAACCCCTTCCCCAATGCCTACACATCGTTCTTATCTAGGCCCCGGGAGCACATCCCCAATGGAGATGAGCAGCGTTGCCAATGGACGCTACAGTAGCGGGTACCTTACGGCTACCACTCCCGAATCTGAACTGTGACCGTCAACCAGCAACCTCCCTCTGTTTGCTGGGTAAAGGAGAGGAGGTCCAGGAGAAGGAAGCTCTGCTTTAGAACCCCTTCCCAGAATTTACAGCAGACAGGGACTAGATGATGTCAAGAGAGGGTAGACGTGGGAAGGGGCCTTCTCCAGCTGAAATGCCAGATCCCTCCTCAGTGAATAATAGTAATAAGACACTGCAATAAATTTTTATGGGCATAAGGAAATTTTTAGCCAATTGGCATTGAAAAACACAAATTGCTCCTATATAAGAGGCTGGGAAAGGGGGATAAGTTAAGGCAACAGCCAAAGAAAAGAGCATCATGTTTTCTGGATCTCTCTCCTTGTCCATCCCGTTCCTCTAGTTGGGAAAAGAGATATGCCTCATGCCACTGAGTATGTTTAACCACCACCGTTCATAGCACAAGGAAGATCAGTCCTCTTGGTATGGATTCTACCAGACCACCTGTGGTTTTACACTCTGATAATCTCCAAATAGCACATTCTTGGTCAACACTTCTTGCAAGTCTGGGCCAAGATATATTTTATGTAGGCAGCACATTACAATGCCTGGCGATGCCATCATGTGATACCTGCCACATCATTGCTGATGTTGGATCAAAAGCAGTAAGGAACAATGGGATCTCGTTTCAGTGAAGTTCGCATTGGTATGCGTGCTAATGTTACTTGCAGTATTCCTTTATCAAACGTCTGCTCATGCAGTGGTGCAAATTCAGGTATGTGCCATGTGCATAGGCCAGAATCAGAAAACTGTTCCATCAATGTAAATTTTCTGGAATTTGTGGTGTCACTCCTGATATCTACATAACTCTGAGCAGGCTGTGACCTCAGCCATTTTATCAAATACACCATCTGACATAAACTTTTTCAGTAGCAGCCATACTCTGCAAGCACTGTGAGTGCATGCCAGAGTCTTTTTGCTGTCAGTTTTGCGACATTAAAAGCACCTTTAAAAATAGTAATAATAATAATAATAATAAAGGTTCTTACTGAAGAGAGTGCGCAACATCTTTCAAGGTAGTCTAAGTGTGTTGGGTCTGTTGCATTTTCCATCAGATGGTGCAGTCATTGCCTTTTACTCTTGTGAATGTGGCTGTGCATGTGTCACAGTCATCTAGGATGCAGCTGATAACATTTTTAATGAATAGTGATTCAGCTCCATCCAACCTCTGGTTAGTCACATTCAGCTGGTGAATCTTAAAAGTTTTCTGTTATTTTCATTTTAGTAACTAGGAGGTCATGCAGTTCCTGTGTGGGAGTACACACTTAATGGGGTTCTTTAAAAGAATGTTGCTCATATATGCCACTGAATTTTTAAAAATCTCTTAAAGATCTTTCTTTCTTTCTTCATTTGCAGTTTGAGCACTCCCCTCTGCACAGTGAGTCTGTGGGAGTGCACATTTTGCCTGCTGGAGAACAGCAGAAGGGCACCACTGCCACAAACCTGCCCCCGGAATGTCAAAGTGCAACAGACTCTTGTGCTGTTGCATATGATATTTATGCTGCCAATGGCTAAATGTGCAGAAGCTGCTTTAAGTGCTTTATGGTTAAGGTGATTTGAGAGTATATAGTCACGGTCATTGATCTGTAGAAAGATCCATGGCCAAAATTTATATTGTTTTCTCCTGCTGGAAGAGTATAAGATGAGGGAAATGGAACTCTGAGAATCTTTTCATGCTTGCTAACATGGGGGCAGCTTGTCTCATGAGCAGCTCTTTCATGGCCTTAAGTTAGGGGACATGTCTGGCTCTGGAAGCGCATGCTTGCAGCAGATAGCAGTGTTGGTTTCAGTGACAGTTGACTGATCCAACCAGCCGTGCTGTGAAAACCAATTTAAATGGGTACCCACAGATACTATCTTCATGCATTCATTGCAACACATTTTGGAGTAGGGTTGAACAGATTGGTCTACTTCTCATCCATGTCAGCTTTTCATGTGTTTATTCATAAGTCAGTTCTACCCTCTTTCCACATTAATTTTCAGATTTCTTTTTTAAAAATCCATATGAAAATTAAATGTAAATGTAGATTGAAATACATACTTAAGAGTGGCTGGGGAGGCCCAGCCAGATGGGCGGGGTATAAATAATAATATATTATTATTATATGCATAGTTCATCTTAACATATGAAATTTATATATTTATTTGGATTATATATATATATCTACACATAAATATATTTCAAGTGTTTCAAAACATATTCAGTATGAAAATAACAATAATAGCTAAATGCTACAGCCCAGCTGCTGTAATTTACAGGACAGTACTGTAATTTACAGCTGGTGTAAATGCTAAATTTATTGGGTATTATGTTACTCCTTTCCCTTTCTCTAGTTGCAGGACCCCTTCCCAAAACAGGCATCAGTAAGATCCCCATCCAGATGTAAAAGGCATGTTAAACAGAAAGAAAGAAAGAAAGAAAGTGATGACTAACACTAAGTCAAGTTCTGCTGCAGAAAAAAACAATTGTGAATTATGAGTTCCCTAATCTTTTTTTAAAACAACAACAGCAACCACATTTTGGTACATTTTTAGGCCAAGAAGTGAATTGTAAAATTTGGAGAAGTGTGAAATCCAAAGCATAATTACATATCAATCCATGTATTAGTCTGGGAAGTGTGAATGAGATCAGTTCACTTAAAATGCAGACTAAACCAAATTCTTCTCCATCCCTACCTTGGTGTAAGCACCACTGAACATAGTGGGAATTCTGAGAAAAAATGCACAGGCTTGCACTTGTAGTGGGAATTTCTCCCCACATCACTTTCAGCCCCCTCCAATCAAAGAGGCTTGTTGTAGCTCAGGAAACCCCCCAGACCTGGCTGTTCTGTGTTGTGGGCCTTGCTGCACTGGGGCAGTTGCCATGGCAAACAATTCTGTGTTACCTGACCAGAGCACCTGCTGTCTTTTGCCATTAGCAGTAGCTACCCTCCACAGAGTCTCGGCTTGTGAAAACTTTTCAGCACTTCTTAGACTCCCAGGACCCTAGAGTACAAAAAAATAGGAAGACATTTAGTAAGGTGGCAATCCATCCTAGGTCCTGTTGGAACCGAAGGGAATTCGTCATATCAGATGGAAAGCTCCTTGTGTCCTGGTTTGATTTTGCCTCTTCTTCTGCATGCAAAATCTCCCTGCTACTCTTTCCCTGCTCTCTGCTTTACCCTCTTAAGGCAGGAGTAACCAACGTGCTGTCATCCAGGTGTAGTTGCACTCCAACCTCCTCCAGCTCCACTCAGCATGGCATGGCCAATGGTCCAGATAAATGGGAGTTGTAGTCCAGCAACACCTTAAGGGCATGCCTCCAGATGGCTATCCCTGCTATCGTTCTTCTGATTCAATTCACCAGAAGCCTCTTGCAGCCTCCTTGAATAAATTCCACTCTGTATTACTTGTTTAGTCCCTGTAGAATTTCTCTTGAGTTGCTTCATGCAGACTCTGGGCCTCTGGGGAGCTTAGGTGCTTTGGAAACTAATCCCTTTGCCTGACAATATTTTTTAATAGATACATCTCTGAACCCCCTAAGCAAAAATTAGCTAAACACTACACAGCCCTTTGAAAGTGAGGAAATGGAGAGATTGTTAAGTCTGTTTCAGTGTGAGTCAGCAACAGAAGCAAGCGATGAAGCCTGGCTTCCCAACCCAGCCTTTTCCTCTCTTTGCCTTTATCCCTTTAGCTTAATATAGCTGGAAAGGGTTCGGGTATCCTCTTTTTAAAAAAAATAAAGCCCTACATTGAGGCACACCAATAAATGTTAGTGTCTATTTTGTATGGGAATGAAAAATGTCAAGGCTTATTCATTATGGAACAGCAGGTTGTGTTGTCAGGAAAAAGCCAGGCATGTGAAAAGGGAGCAGAACACCAGACTGTCTAAAATCCACATTCTCTCTGGTTCCTGAAACAAAGAGCTGCTTTACGGGGTTTACTGATTCTTTGGTTTGCCTGTGCCATTGCATATGCATGCCAGTAGTTCATCACATTTTACACCTTGGCAAGACAATGGCCCTCTTTCTGTTCTCTGTTCTGATTTGGCTTCAATCTGGTTTGTTTTAGTTTGGTCTGCTTTTTAAAGCAGGAATATCTTGATTTGCACTTCCTAGATGAATACATAGATTTGGGTGCAGCCATCCTTTTGCACTTCTCTGAATTTTGTGATTTTTACACTCAAAATGCAAAAATACATAAAATGCATATTTTAGGTTAGAATGTGTATGAAAATTTGTGCACTGTGAAAAAATACATTTAAAAATGTTGATTTTTCTGGGTTTTTTAATAAAAAAAACCACTGATCGCTGCAAAAGCAGAATGGAACAGACTTATGAATGAACACATGCAAAGCTGATCTATCCATCCCTAGTGCCAGTGGGTGGCAGTGTTTTGCTATGTCCAACCTCAAGGTTGCGCCACACATTTGAGGCTCCCTTGTTTTCTCTGTACAGTTTTGCATGCAGGTACACGGCCAAAGGATGTGAATTAAGCAGTACGCAGTAGCACGTTTGCAGGATAAGTGCAGCACTTCCCCAGGCCCCACCCTGCAATTATGGGAATTGTTCAAAGCCTCTTCATGTACTGCTGGTTTACACTAATATTTCCCCACCAGTGGTGTGATCCTGTGAAGAAAACACGTGGAGACCTTGAATATGTGACATGACCCAAAAGCATCTAAAATAGCAGGGAAGAAGGAATGGTGGTAACCTGTAAGGCACAGTGTGCTTTTTTTACCTAATGACAGACTGAGACACTCTTTTGGAGATCATGACAGACTGACAGCTCTGTGTTGCTTTTTCTTTAATCCTAAACACATTGCTAAGGAAATAAGCCCCATCAATTCCAATGATACTCCTTTCCACCATCAGAATACTGGTTGCAAAGGTGTAATGAATGCCTATTGCAGGACTTGGATTACACAAATTGCAAAGGGTTCAGAGGAGACCCAGCCCATTACCTTTTGTGATGGTTGCTGTTTATAGAAGGTGTGGGTGTGGGTGTGGTTTGACTAAAATTGAGGAGCATGTCAATATAATTGATTTGATCAAGGCTCGGCAGAGACTTGTCCCGACACCATCTTCGTCAGTCAGAAGCAGAGAATAAATGAGCTTTGAATCTGAGCAATGAAATGGAACATTGTCCCCAACACAATGCCTATCTTGTGATGGGATTTTGAGGCCTTATGTTTTGGGTTGAAGAGGAGGCTTTGGCCTTCCACTTACTGTGTGGTGGTGGCAACTTTGGAGTTGTGACAAAGGAGAGATGTAGCTGAAAGAATTGCAATCTAGAAGTTTCCTTCTTTTGTGTTTCTTCCTTTTGTGTGTCTTTCTCTGGCCCCTCGTTGGCATCCATCTGTCTTGAGAGGCAATGAAAGAGCGCACCATTATGGGTAAAGCCAAACCGTTGGAGGGTTACAGCACCTGCTGTGGCTGTACAGATATGAGAGAGACTTGTTTTATTGCAGCTAGGGCAGATGAGGGCATCCAATTTCGCTGTTGCAGATGCACCATGGCGTTTCCTTGTTTCCTACCTTACAAATATGGTTAATTGAGCTCAGGAGGTGGCTACTGTAGCCTAGTGGGGAACTATGGAAATCAGCTTCAGAAGGTCTGCTGATGAGCTGTTACATAATTAGCCCCCATAGGAAGTCCATTACTAGTTCCATTGTTCTCTTTCCCAGCCTATGCTCTTTCTTCCTCTTCTTCCAATGTTATCTCCTTTAGAGTGGAGGTTGCTAGGGACTTGCAAACCTCTTCACCTATATGTATTTCTGTTGCTGTGCATTCTCAGCTTATGCACATTGGCACATTATTTTCCAAGTTCCATAGGACAGACTAGAACCAATGCAAACCAGTGCACCTCCACTGGAGTGAGTAGTTCGGATGCTCAGGTGAAGCAGATCTGTGCCATGTTGCTATGGATCTTGGCCACCATTTGAGTGGGCCATGCCTCTGGTTCTGAGGTGGGTCCATTGCATTTCCTTCTCTTATCCTGTGGCATAATGCCAGCAGCAATGGGAAGAAAAAGAAACACTATAGTATATGTGTGTATATATATAGAGTAACCTATAGTTTCTATTTCTATTGTATATTTATTCTGTAAATGTTGGTGTAAATTCTGTTAAATGACAAAGCATATTCCAAAGTGATCCGTGAACTATTTTCATTCTCAGTGCTGTACAGATCTATTTTACTGTATATTTGATATATTTATAATTTTTTAGTGTACGACTGGTGACCACACCCTGCTGAGCTGCCCACTTGGGGGTGGGGTGGGTGGGGAGAGCACAGAAGGGCACTGCCTTCATTATTTCTGTGGAAATATAACAGTATTACATTGTGGCATTTTGCTAGGCGTTAGAATTGGGAAGTGGTGGGATTAAATGTTAGATGCCTTGAGCAGTTGCTCCATTGAGTCTCCTTGTGTTAGGGCTTGTAACTGCTGTTGTGTGTGTGTTTTATTAGGGTTAGCTCTATCTATATCACAGTCACTTTCAAAGCCATTCCATAGCTTTACATTGTGATGGATGTTCTCAGTAGATGACCATGCCTTGAGGGTGTCCGAAATTTATGGCTCATTCCTGTCAGGGATAAAACAGGCACACTACATGCTTTTGTGACCATGCCCAGGCTATATTTCATAATTACAAGAATGAGCCAGAAATTATGATCACTGTTGAACTGAAGTACAGAAATGGGTGGTGTTAGATGGGGCGCTTCTGAAGTCAAATTTGACCTTCCTCTTTAGTGTGGGGAGGGCCAAGTGGCCTTTATATAGATATACACACCTATTGTTTGCATGACACAACTTTGCAAAAATCGTAGCCATCATATGATGACGGATCAGTTGAGAATATTCTCAGAAAAAATAATAATCCTGATCTGCCATTGAGCTGCCCCCTTTAGTTGATACCTGATCCGACCACTTAGGATATCTAGTTTCTTATAGCACACACTACAACTTCCAGAAAGCACAAAAGCCCAGATGGGAAAAAGCAATATTCCAGTGGCCCCTCCATTCAATGTCCCTATCTGGAATGTATCCCATAGTTCTAGTATTTTCACTCTAAGTACTCAGGAGCTATTGAGTGAATCCACTTGGTAGGGGTCCTTTTCTTTTATACATTCATTCTATGTATCCTGATCCTTCAGGCACAATCAGGTCATTCCAGGTTTCTGCTTTTTGGTGTAGCCACATAAATACTGAAGTTGCTGAAATGTTTACCCTATGGAGGAATGCCAGTCATACCCAGCACACTAGTTTTATATGTTTAACTTGGCTAGCAGCCTCCAGACAATAGCACAGGCAACAGAGGAAATTTACATTCCAATCCAGAAAATGAAGTCTCTATGTAGTACCAAGTTCCACATGCAGGTCTAATTCTTTGGATCAAGATCTGTGGGCATAAACTGGCTGCATCCAAATGTGAGTGCCATCAGTTTGTGCTGCGTTGCTTTTGGTTTGATACAGATCCAGGTGTGCATCCCCACCTGCAATGCAAATCAGTCAGATCAGAGCTGGATGGACTTCAGACACTCTCATTGTTTGACAGTATATGCCTTTCTATCTTGTCATGAGAAGGGCTTGAAGCCAAAGCCTTCGATTTTAACCACGGCACCTCTGTTGCTTTAGCTAAAGAGTGGAACAGGTGAGCTTTTTAAGAGTACAGGGAATGTAGTTGCCAATGAAATCTGAAAGCATAGATCCATAGATATGGATGGTTTCACCATGTGGGGAAGTAAAACAATGAATTGACTGTAGATGGAGTAAATAGTCTTATATTAACAGTCCAGTCCTATGCAGAGTTAAATGTGCTTCGTTTTGCATAGGTTCAACCTGCACATTGACCACATGGTGGGTTCATCCTGTAGCAATGACAAATTGAGTAGACTTGGCCACATCAGAAAAGATCCCAACGTTCTTAGTCCTTGGGTTTCATCCATTGGAGCTTGGCTGAGCTCATCAGTGTTTTCTACCTTAAATTACCTACACCTAGCATTCCAGGAGTTGAGGGAAATGCTAATCATTTACCCAATAAGGCTGCTCTGGATTAACTTTACTCTTACCAGCTGATAGTTTTCACGTTGCCTCAAAACTGCTTAATAAACCTTGGCAACCCCATCCTCCATCACCTTTAGATCAAACTGCCTGTAACATAATGAGCTGCAGTTTTAATCAAATATATAGCTAAAATAAAATAAGGTAGCTGCTAATGCAACAGGGAATCAGGTTCCTGACCCTGCACTCTTAACCAATTGTCCCCCCTTTCCCCTGATCTCTTACAGGGACAAGCTTTTTCTAAATGATCAAATATTACTTGATCTTCATGCTAGAGCCATGTCTTTTAGATTTTTAAAGTAGCAGTGGGTCCAACAGGTGGCCATGAGGGATGTCAGCACAAGACAGGAACTCTGAATCCTTCACTCTGCTGTGAAAGGATTCTTACCTCCAGCTGTGGAGCATCTCCTTCACCGCAGCACAGTGGCATCACATTGGTGTACTTGAGATAGCAGGTCTATGCAGAACCACTCAGAGATCTGTTCCAAAAGAAGGCCCCCCAATGAGATGTTGTCTTGTTCTGGGAAAACACTGTGCTATTAATACCATGGCGGAGGTTGTTTGGCAACCAAAGCCCGATTCAGCAGTGGAATACAAATATCCATTGACTTCATAGCAAGCCCCAAGAGGTAGATGCAAGTAGTATTGTTAGCCTGAAGACAACTCGGGTGTCCTGGGGGAAAGAGGCAGGGAGAGGGTGCACTTGAGCCTAGCATCCAGTGCCTGACAGGTTGGCCTCCATAGCTGGGCCCTAAATCCCTAACTGGGATGCCTCTAACTGCAGTGAGGAAAGCAGAACTTGGAGCAGGTGTGGTGGCGCTGGCGAGTTTTCTAAACTTTCATGCAATGAAAAAGTACATGTCTCTGATGAAACTTTGCTGTAGAAATAAAAACAGCAGCACAGATTGTAGTGATTTGTCTCATATACAGTGTAGCCAGTGTAAGCACCATATGCACCCTGTGTCAGCGGGAGAATTCTGTTGTATGGGAGAAATACTGTAACAACTCCACAGCAGCCTGCAATTAAAAGAGTTTCTTCTTTATTACCATGCAATGTCTCCTGGGTCTCCTTTTTTGCTTGTACATAATGCCGGGTCATTGGGGAGCACTTGTCGTTAAGCTCTTGAGGAAAGAAGAGTATGGCCCGGTGCACAACTCTTAACTCACAAAGAAACCCTTTATTCCGATCACACCAGGACTGGAGAGATGGTGCTGCTACATCAACAGAACAGCTGTTGTATCCAGTGCATGCTAGGCCAGGGGGATAGGGGTGGGGAGAATGTAAAAAAAAATGGCATCAAAGTGGCAGGCATTCAACACACATGCACACCCTGGAAACTCCACCAGTGTCCAGAAATTGTGGATTGTGCTTGTAGTTTTGTTTGTTTGTTTATTTTATTTACTTATTGAATTTATTTATTTTTAATATAAATTTTTATTGATTTTCCAAACACATAATAAAAACAAACAATACACAAAACAAAGACATACAAACATATAAACATGTATAATTTCATAATCTTATTTTCATACACCTTACTTCCCGGACTTCCCCATACCTCCCCTTTTCTGCATCCTTGTTTTACATTTCTTCAGCAACTCCTCCAATTAACTAATTATTTAATTCACTTTCATTAGATTCTTTTTTCTTTAAGTTATTGATTACAGCTGCAATTCTCTATTTCTTAGTTCCTTAACATCTTAACACTCCTCAATTTTACAGCAATTTTTAAGATATATTTTAAATTTCTTCCAGTCTTCTTCCACTGTCTCTTTCCCCTGGTCACGGATTCTGCCGGTCATCTCTGCCATTATTGAATTTATATACCGTCCTATCCCGGGGGTCTCAGGGCGGTTCACAGAATAAAATCAAGATATAAAACCACAAAATACATAATAAAAATAAAAACAACAACCCAATAGCCTCCCCCCCCCAACACATTTTAAAAGGATGTAAATCAGATCAACCAAAGGCCTGGTTAAAAAGGAATGTTTTTTGCCTGGTGCCTCAAGGTGTTTAATGAAGACTGCAGGCGAACTTCCCTGGAGAGGGCATTCCACAGATGGGGAGCCACTGCAGAGAAGGCCCGTTCTCGTGTTGCCGAGGACGAGGCACATGAAGGAGGGCCTCAGAGGATGATCTCAGGGTCCAGGTAGGTTCATATGGAAAGAGGCGGTCCTTGAGGTACTGCAGTCCTGAGCCATTTAAGGCTTTGTAAGTCAAAACCAGCACTTTGAATTGGGCCCGGAAACTAATTGGTAGCCAGTGCAGTCGGACCAGTATTAATGTAATATGCTCAAATTTGTATTATTAATTTTGTATCCCTGCCTTCACCCCACAGGAGCCCAGGGTGGCAAGTATCAAGAGGTAAAAACAGTACAATTTAAAATTAAACACATTTAAAACACTTTAAAACATTTTTTAAAAAAAACATTAGGCACTTTAAAAACAACTTTAATAAACAAAAAGCAGTTTAAAAACATTTAGAACTTTTAAAAACATTTAAAACAAATACACTCGGTTATTAATGTTATAGTTGCCATGGCTACTATCTATTACCCATCCTGGGTAAACAGGTATGTTTTTAGATTTCTCCTGCAATCAATAATGAGGGAGACAGGAAGACCTCTCCAGGGTGGACATTCCACAAATGGGTCAGCACCAACAAGAAGGACCTGTACACACCAACTGGAAAGGAGCCGCTGGACTCACATGCTGCCCAAACTTAGAGGGAGCCAATGGGGACACGTGCCCAGCACACAGCCTACATTGCAACACACAGCAGCATAGCACTGACTGTTCTTCTGTCCCAGCAGCATATTCAGGTAAGAGCCCATTTCTGCCTGTCCTAGATGTTCCTACAGGTAAAGGGCATCCTTGCTCTGGCAAAGACAACTGCTTGAAGAGGATGTATCAAGTGGTGTCAAATGCTAATTGATAAAAAGCCACTGTTCAATGCCCAGTGTTGGGAAGTAGGGTTGCCACTGATTCCAGAATGTAAAATTTCCTAACTGCCCCACTGCTCCAAGGAAACATGCCTAGGCTCATGGTGCACAGGCTGATTTCTGCATGCACGTCCATCACTTACAGTGTCAAGCCACAGGAAAATATTTTCCTGCCAAGTTGTTTCTAATGTGGAACATATTGTGGTCATGTTATTAGGTTTAAAATGCCGAGAACAGGGATTTATTTAATTTCTGATTGATTCTACAGAAATTGTCGGAAGAGTTCTGCACTAACAGCAGCCTCGTCCCTGGGATTGGTGAAAGAAGTGACGCTACTGTGGTGTTGGTATAAGCACAAGATGGCTCCCTGCTCCATGGGAACTGGCCAAAGCTCCTCTAATCTTGTTGATTTCCTCCCTTTCCAATACGTTGGCATTTTTGTTACTTTGGCACAAAAAAGCATAGACTCCCTGCATTATGTACCAGAAGAGAGCCAAATGTTTTTTACTGTGTCAATCTGATGTGGTTTCTGAAGGATTTCAGGATAATATTACCCCGTTACTTTAGGAACAGATAGCCTTAGCCTCAACAGCTATTAACCAGCATAGCTCAATTGACTTTCACAATTCCAAAATTCAGCATCTTTGAGGGTGGGTCATGGTGAGAACTGTTTACTAGTATTCGCTGTCTCCTTACTGGCAAACAGAACATGTCAAGTGGGGAAAGGGAAGGTACTTGCTTCCAGGCCCAGGACTGTCTCTTTAAGGACTTCACTTCTCAGCCAGCGGAGTGGGTATGGAACTGGACCTAGAAGGCATAAATCAGAGCTAGAACTCCATCACGCACAGTGATCTGTCCATGGTCCTGCAAAGCTTTGTGCTTCTATTCCTGGGCAAAAGGGTGAGCCCAAAACCAGGCATAGGCAAACTCTGGCCCTCCAGATGTTTGGGACTACAATTCCCATCATCCCTAGCTAACAGGCCCAGTGGTCAGGGATGATGGGAATTGTAGTCACAAAACCTGAAGGGCCGGAGTTTGCCTATGCCTTCCCTAAACCATTGCTCTCTCAATTCATCACTCCATCTGCAGGCGATGAATTGGGAGGGGGGAGGGTTGGCCTTTTTTCCCCATTTGAATTTGGGTCCTAAAATACCTCCCAAACAGTTTTTTTTGGGGAGGGGCTTGCAATTGTAGTGGGGGCAGTGCTTATCCTTCCTGCTCTTTTCTTTCCTGCTCTTCTTTAACTTTGCCTAAAATTGCCTCCTTTGTTGGCTGCTGCCATAGCACATGGGTGGTCGTCAGAACATTGTTGCTACACTATCAAAGCTGCTAACTTTTAAAATCTTACCAAAAAGAATAAAACAGTTCAAAAGAGGCAGGAGGTACATCCCACTACAACTGTAAGCTCCTCCCCATAATCATTAACTCCCTCCGTTTTGGTCTATCTTAAGAGTTTTGGTCACAATGACCCCCCAAATTTGGATGAACCCTCAACCTCACCCCACACATATACATACAAAACCAATCCTACTCTGGACCTGTATTGGTTCTTGCTATCACCCTGACGTTGGGGTGGATCCCTCATCCCACCCCCCGCTTCCCTGACTGTCCATAATCTCTGCTGCCTTGGTACAGGGTAATTATCAAGGCATTATCCTTGCTTTATGTTGATAGCGGAGTACAATGCTTTGGCAGCCCCAAAAAAAAAGCAGAGCACCACCACTAATAATTAGTCAGAAATGAGAGATAATTTGATAAAGACTTACTTTGGAATCTTCCCAATTACACCGGCTCCCTTTTAATGTTTCATGTTTTTGTTGCTGCTTCTAGAGATTAGCCATTTAGTTAACCATGGTATTTGGGGTAGAAAATCTATGCCTAATCCATTCATCATACCAATGATTTCTGCCTTAATGATAACAGTGTTACAGGCTGGCACTTTCTTTAGTTTTGGGGCTGAGCTCTGCACCCTTAACAGCAGACAGCACTGGCTGATGGAGGATCATTCCAAATGTGCAAACAGTGAGCATAACTGCAGTTCTAAATGCAGAGCCTGTGCCTGGCTGGATTGCTAGTCCTTGCTCTGCTAATTTAATTCGTTCCATTTACCAGGCTCCTTTGGCTCAGGCAGAACTAAGCGGAACCTTTTCCCCATAATACAGTTCTGAGCTGCTCTTTATGACTTAATTACAATCTTTTTTTAAAAAAGAAAAAAAACACCCTACTTTCTTTGGGTGATGGAAATAAGCCCAAAGTATGAGGCAATCTGGGCTCTGGGAAATCCAATTATAATAACTCCACCTCCCATCATCTTTGACCATTGGCCATGCTTGCTGGGGCTGATGGGAGCTGGAGTCTCACAACATCTGGAGGACCACAGGTCCTCTACCCCCGGTCAACTTTATACCTGACTGAGCATTAATTCACTGGGGCCAAGTATTAATGCATAGATGTCACAGAAATAAGCCCATTTGCTTTAAAACAACAAGGTGATAGACCTCTGTTGGTAACATTGCTAGAGTTACTACAATTTTCAGAAACACACACAAAATATACTCTCAAAATATACAGTTTTTTGGGTGCAATACAGTATTGAATACATCCAACAGCAAGCTACTAGCCACAATTGCTCTGCTCTGCTTCTACAACTGAAGGAAGTATACTTCTGAACACCACACAGGCATCTTGTGAGAACATGATGCTGGACTGGATGAGCCATTGGCTTGTGTTTTACTCTCATCTCTAAAATATGAAACTTCAAATTTCCAGCAAGGCTTCCTAGAGAAGTCTGGAAGAAAGGCTCAGTTTTATACGAGAAGCAGAATTTCCACTATGCACCATTAGGAGCAAGTAGGCAGAGAGAAGTTTTTCTCCCTCTCTCATAATACTCAGTGGTGTCCATTGAAGCTGAACGTTGACAAGATTCAGGATAGAGAAAAGAAAGTACTTACTCATGCAGCGCACAGTTAAACAATGGCATTTGCTCCCACAAGGAGGAGTGGCGGCCACCAGCATAGATGTCTTTAACATAGAGTCTGAGAAATTAATGGAGGATAAGACTAGCAGTGGCTACTAGCAGTGGCGTAGCGTGGGTTGTCAGCACCCGGGGCAAAGCAAGTAATTTGCGCCCCCTAACCTGTGGATTTGCGCCCCCTAACCTGTGGATTTGCCCTAACCCCAGATGTTGCGCCCGGTGCGGCCGGGCCCCCCTGCACCCCCCACGCTACGCCACTGGCTACTAGCCATGATGGTTATGTTCTGCCTCCACTGTCAGATGCAGTATGCATCAGAATACCAGTTGCAGGGAATGGTAAGTAGGGGGAGTTCTGTTCCATTTGTGCCCTGCTTGCAGGTTTCCTAAAGGCACCTGGTTGGTCACTGGAACAACAGAATGCTAGACTAGATGGGACTCTGGACTGACCCACCAGAACTGAGGTTCTTATGAGGGCTGTGTGTGCTCAGCATCCTGCCCAGGTAGCTGTGCGGATACTGTGCCATGTGGTCTCTCCTTCCTTCCCTTTTTGTGTGCTGCCCTCCAAACCTATGCCAGGGAGGAGCATAAGGGGATTTGAACCCATTCCTGTATCCCTGCCTGGAGACTGGCAGTTGAGGGCCATTGCTGCCTGCAGAGGCGGAGCTAGGTGCTCTGGCACCCAGAGCGGCATGCACCAGGGGGGCAGGGCTAGCTGCTCGTGGGAGTGGGGCAAGTGTCCCAGGGGTGGGTCAAATGTCACAGGGGGGTGGGGCGAGCACCCTGGGGGTGTGGGGGGTGTGCCTGCCCGCCGCGAGCCTCCCGGGGGTGCACAGCCCACCACGAGCACAGCAATGTCACCCCCCCTCAGGGATGGCGCCTGGGGCAGACCACACCTGCCTTGCTCCGCCTCTGGCTGCCTGAGCTGTTGGGACTGGTGAATTGGGGATGCTTTGGCATCATTGTACATGTTGTGATGTATCCCATCATTGTGAGTTTATTGGTCCTCTCTCTCTGTGGGTTGTATGCAGGCATCATCACTAGCAAAGTTCCTAATTGGTGGGTTTTGGCAGTATTTGCAGGGATGGGGGCACCTGTTGTTTTCACACCATTTTTGGATGGTGTGTGTGTGTGTGTGTGTGTGTGTGTGTGCGCGTGTTTTGCATGTTTTCTCCAGCTGAGCCCAGCAGCTGTTCTGCCAATGTAGCAGCAGTGCGTCTCTCCCCACCCAGCATAATTGGTGTATAGAATTTTTCTGTTCAAGTGATTTTTCTTTTCTCTATGTCTGCAGCTTGCACATAATTATAAATCTTACATCAACTCAAGTGCCCATTAGATTTAAATAGAGGAAACGCTTTTCTAGTCCACATTAACAACACACACAGTGGTACACAAATAATATACGAGAAGACACACTCTTATTCTTGCCAGCAGGGGAACATTCAATGGTAATAACAGCTACAGTTAGATCAGAGTCTAGGCACATTGGCCTAGGGAGCTTCCAGACTGTTGCTATTTTTGAGTAGGATTCAAACACGTACTGGCAAACTCAGGTTGCATGATCACAGCTAACTGGGGGTTGGTTTGCACAACAAACCCACTTCTCTTCCCCAAAGATTGGACTATATGCAAATAATGAAGTGACAGGGAAATATACTGGAAAGTGTATCTAACCTCCCTGAAAACAAATCAGAACAAATGCTTGTTAGATAGCCAGCCACTGTCTAACCTTCCTGTGAACAAATCAGAATGAATGCTCAACAAACATGTCACCTTAGAAACAAATTTTGCTGAGTCCAATGGGGCTTCCCTTGAGTAATTTTGCATAATAGGGTTAAGCTGCACAAGGCCTTTTCCACATCAAAGTTTTGCTTTGCTTTGCTTTGCCCACTTAAAGACTATATTGTGGGTGAGCAGATCAGGATCTACTGATAGATTTCTGGGTGGTTTGCAGTAGATTGGCAAGAGGTTCTGACCTTCAAGTGTTTAACTACAGCCAGAACAAAACTATTCATTCCACCTAAATTTGGCTGCCGAATCAGGTGAGGGGTGGAGTGGGGTTGTGTGAAAGCCAGACAGCTCAGTTCTTTTCTGGTTCTGGAAACGAATCCCTAGGTTCAGAATGTGCCCAGAGGCACCTTGTTCATTTAATGCTAACTGTCTGTCTTTTGCACCAGACTCTAGATGTCAGATCTTGGGGTTCTATTGGAAGAACAAAGTACCGGTAGATCTCACAAGCCTGACGTCTGCCCACCCTTTCCCTATATCTCAGGCTTGAAAACAACAGAGACTGGTGAATTGGCCAAGGGCACTCTGCACACAAGATTGATACTGCCTCCAAACTGTCATTATTGTGGGGGAGGGATTCAAGTGCACATTGCTACTTTAAGTTTGCACACTTGAAGTGCATTAAAGGGGTTTCATAGTGCAACAAATCTTCTTTAAAAACGAATCGGTTATTACTATTATTTTGCAGTTTGGGAAATGCATTGAAAAGCATGGGGTGAGTGAATGACTAACAGGAAGACGTGGGAACACCCTGCAAGCAATCAGGGTGGATGCTCATTGTCCTATAACTGCCCCACAAACAAATCAGAACAAACTCGCAAGAAAGACCAGAAAGAATCGAACGTCCCCATGATTTTTGTACAAGCATATGACCGTTCAATAAACAGCTCGTCCAGAGGGACCCCGTGTCATAGATGCAGAGGAAGCAGCCTTATAACCGAGTCAGACTATTGATCCATCTAGTACAGCCTTGTCTACACGGCTCGGTTAACGGATCTCTAGGATTTCGGACTGAAGACTTTTCCAACTCCCCACCCAGATGGACCAGGGACTGAAACTGGGACCTCTAGGCATGCAACCTACTTAGACTTTGCTTTCACGTGCCATCCTGGGAGCTGTGGGTGGAGAGCTGGGATGCCCCATTCTCAGAACCTTCAACTGGGGCCCGGCAAAGCAGGATGTTCGCCACGTTGAAGGTGCTTCCTCTGAGACGCCGAAAGGTGCCGTTGTGTGACCCACAAGCTGTGGATGATGATTTGGGGCGGGGGGAGGACGACCCTCCTTCCCTCTCTTTCTCACGACCTCAACTTCCTCCTCTGAATCTGAAAGCCGGAAAATTTATACTGGTGGGGTTTTTGGGATGGCCTCGCTCGCCCCCTCTCTCATGCCAGCTCCTTTACACTTGGACTCTCCGCATCAGCTCGCCCCTCGCTTCCGAGGGCAGCTTGTTCCCCGTCTCGAGTTGCCCCCCTCCGGAGGAGGAGGAAGCCGCGCCGAAGAGCTCAGGCAGCCCCGCCCCGTCCACACCCCCTCCGGCGCCGGAGCTGCCAAAGCGCGCCGGCACCGACGGGGTTAATCTCTCCCCGCGCAGCTCCCGGGAGGCGAGGGAGACGAGCCCAGCCGAGCCGGGCTGGGAATTGAAGCGCCCAGTATCCGGGCAACAGGCGGCGGGAAGCCACTGGCTGCGGAGCCGCCGGAGCCGTCCTGCTCGCGCTGCCCTACGCAGAGCGCCCCCTCTGGACAAAGGGGCGAAATGCTCCCGCCTCCGTCAGCTGCCTCGAGCCGAAGGCCAGGAGGAGGCTGTGCGCTCCGGCTCTTCCGTGGAGCCTCGACGCCACAGGGCATCGCGCAACAGAGAGCCTGGCGCGGGGAGCGCAACTCGGGCGGCAGCTGTCCATGGCTCCTCTCCGCCCGCCCCCAACTTCTGGGCGGCCCCCCAGTTGCCCCTGGTGACCAGCCCCCCCTCTCCCTGCAGACTGCCCCTCCCAGCCCTGTCGGAGGGGAGGGGTGGCAAGAAAGAGGCCAAGTCGCCCAGGCGGTGCGCGGTGCTTCCTCCCCTCCCTCCCTCTCGCCCTCCCACCATCCGACCATGAGGCAGCTCGGAGCGGGCTCGGCTTCCTCCAGTTCTTTCGCAGGCGCACCTGAAGGCCGGCAAGACCCTTCGCCGTCTCTCCCGGCAGGAGCTGTGAGGAAAGCGCAGTCCCACCTGGACCCGACGACGGCCACCTCCGACGGAAAGCGCGTCTTGCCGGGAGCTTGAAGCGCCTTCTCCTCGTCAGCCTTGCTTGGACCTCGCCGCGCCCCCCTCTCTCCTGAGGGGAACCAGCTCAGTCAAGCAGAAGCAGCGGCGGATGGTGCGCCTGGTTCGCTCGGCTTTCCTCGCCCGGAGGCTCACGTCTAGGAAATAAGCGGCGGCGGTGGCGGCTCCTTCCTCGAGCGCGGGAGACGTCCATGGTTTGCTTGTTTGTTTCTTGATCGCGCGTTGACCTGCCTGGGAGCCAAGGCGAAGCTCGGCAATCCAAGAAGGCAGGAACGGCGAGACCCCGGGAGTGAGTTGTTTGCAGATCTGTGTCAGAGAGAGAGAGAACCAGCGTGGGAATCCAACACTGGAGCTCTTTCAAAGTTTAAAGTCAAGTCAAGCCCTCTCTCCTCTCCACTTTGGGAAGACTCAGCAACCTGCTGAGGACCAGAAGAGAGAAAAGAGGAGAGGAGATGATTTCCTCCTCCTCCTGTTCCTGCTGCTGCAATATCCGTCTGATTTGTTCCTAACACGGTGTTTTTCTTTACCAGACTCCTGTGCCCTCGATAAACACGCGCGCACCAGTTCCATTGCCATCTGCTTCCAGTTCTGCCTCCAGGCAAGGGGGGCCGAATCCTGTAGCTCTCCGGCTCGCCAGCCAGGCCCCTTTCCTTCCGTCTCTGGTCTTCGGCTCCCCCTCCGTCGAGGCACTTGTTGCTGCTCGGTGGCTGAGGAGCAGAACACTTCCCGCTGGCCTCCTCCACGGCCACGCACGCACAAACACAGAGAGAGACACGCGCGCACACAAAGACGATCTCCCTCTCTCTCGAGAAGGACTGTGCCTGCTCCGAGCTGAATGCCAGTCCCGGCCAACCTCTGAGACCCACCGCTCCTGCCTGGGAGAGAGCGAGAGCGCGCGTCCTCGCCCAGCCGCCCAGCGCAGCTCCTTGCCGGACGGGAAGGGTCACCCGAGGGCACCTGCGGGCCACCTAACCTGATCTATGATCAGCTCGGTGTGTGTCTCCTCTTACCGCGGGCGCAAATCCGGGAACAAGCCACCGTCCAAAACATGCCTGAAGGAAGAGATGGCCAAAGGCGAAGAGTCGGACAAGATCACTATCAACGTGGGGGGCACCCGGCATGAGACGTACAAGAGCACCCTGCGCACCCTGCCAGGCACCCGCCTGGCCTGGCTGGCCGACCCGGACGCCCAGAGCAACTTCGACTTCGACGGACAGAGCAAGGAGTTCTTCTTCGACCGCCACCCAGGCATCTTCTCCTACGTGCTGAACTACTACCGGACGGGCAAGCTGCATTGCCCCGCCGACATCTGCGGCCCCCTCTTCGAAGAGGAGCTCACCTACTGGGGCATCGACGAGACCGACGTGGAGCCCTGCTGCTGGATGACCTACCGGCAGCACCGCGATGCCGAGGAAGCCTTGGATATCTTCGAGAGCCCGGAGCCCGGGGCTGGCGGGGCTGGCGAGGAGAACGAGGAGGAAGGAGCCCGGGAAATGTCTCTGCAGCGCCTGGGCATGGACGACAGGCCACCGGGGGCCACGGGAGCAGGAGGCTGTTGCCGCAGCTGGCAGCCCCGGATGTGGGCACTCTTTGAGGATCCCTATTCATCCCGGGCAGCCAGGGTGAGTTGATGGGCATTTGGTGGGGGCACCTATGGGAGCGGGGGGGGGCTCCCCACACACTGGCCAGATCCTCATGGGCCCCCAATCACTCAGTTACCCTTCCTGCGCCACCCCATTGTTACGTCTTTTGTTTCTCTCCAGAGACAACAGTTGCTTCACATTTCATTTTTAAAATTTGTTTCAAAATGTTGTTACTAAATTATTTCCATGAGTTACATTCAGTTTGAGACATTTTTGTTATGGGCAGTATGGGATTTCATCCACTCTTGAAGGCTTTTGAGTCGAGTTTCTTTCTTTTCTTTGTGATGACCCTCCTGTTCATTCGCTGCTATTTTCTCTTCCTCTTTCCCTTCGTGTGACCTTCTCTCCTTGCTCTCCCTTGCTGGCACAAACGTGAGAGGGCAGCGCGTCTCGGTTCTTATTTTCTCTCTGTGTGTGTGTTTCTTTTCTTTTTATACACACACATAGAGGAGTAGAACAGCACCCCTGAATTTGTATGGATGTGGCTTGCCCCCACCCTAGACAACGATCATCTCAGCACAACTCTCAGTAGGCAAACACAAGGCCTTCAGATTCCCAAGGCAGCCTTGGAGCAGTCTGCCCCAGCATTACGCATGCTGTCCCCTCTTCCACTCATGGAATTCAAGATCTAAAATATTTTTTAGGAAAGCCCAGTAATAATTACCTCTATGAGTGGGGATCACATAACAAAAACTACCATAGAGAGATCAAAATTTTCATAAGTCGTGGGTCCATGACTTTTGAAAAACAGGGGTCTGTAGTACTTAGCTGATTAGGGACCACTGACCTATATATTTCCCTCCTATGCTTCTTCCAGGTTCACCACTGGCTTACATGTGTCCTTTCACACCTCTCTCTTGTGTCTATGCTTACATGCGTGTGCACAGAAATTCATGTCTTAAGCAGCCAAAGAAAGAAGCAGCTGTGGGTGGGAGTTTGCCCTTGACGACCCAAGGAGGGTACATTGCCCCCAACCTTTCTTTCTATTTATTGTCCTCTTTGATCCACTATTCAAAAACAAGCCGTCCTTTTGTTTAAGGAAGCTGTGATGCAACCCCCTGGTTTCACCCATGATAGAAGTAAATTTAATTTTCATCTTTTAGAATTCTAGCTTGCAAGCAGATTAGTGATACCTGCCACTCCTACCTGTTTGCAAGTTCCGGAACAAGAAATACAGCCTGACGGGAAGCCACCTGCTACTTGCCTGCTTTTTCGCTTTGAGAGATACTTTTTCATGCCTACTGATGGAGACACACCCACTTCATTCCCATTCAAACCCACACAAATTAATAGAGGCAATCTCCACATGCTTTTGCTTTTTAATGTACGCATAAATCAAATGCATTATTCACATCCAGCCATACGCTCTTGCTTTTATACTCAAGAAGTAGTGGTTCATATCTCTGGTTCCTTAGTCACACCTATCACGTAAATGCTGGCACATATACTCTTAGCTCTCTCTGTCTCACATGCAGAAGCATTGCTGGCATTTAGAGGTGTAAAAAATGCAAGGGAACACTCTGAGCTCAGCCTAGATCCTGGCAGAGTTCACATTAAAATGTGTGCGTTGGTGGGTGGTTGGACTCTCTATAACCATCATAAGCAGCAAATACTCTTTTGGCACCTTAAAGACTAACAGGTTTTGGTGGGCATAAACGTTCATGGACTGGGGTCCACTTCATCAGTTGCATGAAACATTATCCTCCATTGCAGGTATGGTATAGGTGTGTGCACATACATCCAACATGTTTTCTTCCAGCCAAACAGCCAAATCCCAAAACCAGACATTCCAAAGATGGCATTACGGGCCCCTTCTGTAGTCTCAAAGGTCTTAGATTTCCAAAGCTGCTCTCAATTTATGAGAGGGTCCAAAATAGACTTGCTGAAAACAGCCTCCAGGGATTTTCCCACACTGCCTTTGCCTGTCTCTCGTCTTCTCCTGGAAAATGCTTTCCCCAGCCGTTGACCTCGGTGATGCCTGATGATATGATTATCAGAGCTAGAAACGAAAAAATCTGCCCCAATGTAGTGATAAGTACATCTGTCCCTACCTTCTCCCTGCAAACCATTTAAGAATATGATCAGCCCAGGTCATTGCATGAAAAAATCTCAGTACCTGTTTTGTTTTTGTTTTTGCGAAGGTTTCAGTTTCTTGGAGAAAGCAAAGCTTAAGGGGCTCTCACTGTCAATGGCAGATGGAGAACCTGGCAGGAAATGTGACTGTCCTTTCCCAGGGACCAAGGCACAGGGCCATAGAAGAATGGCTTCGAAAAGCATCTAAATTAAAAGGGAGAGGATATGTATTAAGATTTGGCGGGCATTAGCTAGATGGCATGACCTGGCATACTTTGCTGTACTCTGGGGAAGCTGAGAGCAGTTGACCCAGGAATCTTCATTTACCTCCATCTCCAAACTTCCTTACAACTGTGATCAGGATCCTCATATGGTATAAACAGGTGCTGTTCAACTCATTTCAAGCTCTCAATACTTCCAGCAAGATTACCGGTATCTCAGTTTGTACCAGCTAAGTATCCAGTACTGCTAATGTTACATACTAGTGTTGAGAAGGGTGTTTTAAATGGTTCATGAAATATGAATGGTTTGTCTTAGAAAGTGCCCTTGCGCTTCATTTAGGTGGTGTAGAAATAACCCCCCTCCCCTTAATGGAATCCTGCTCTGAAAGAAACAAGTGTCAATGTATTATTTGTCACAGAAACAAGATCTCTGATATTTGTTGTCCACTAAGGCTTGACTTTCCAAAGACTGCCATAGATTCCATCTTTTTCATCACTGGAATAAATTCTAGCTGGCCTTAACTGGCCTTATTAACCCTTGTTCTTCATTGGGTACATGACATTTTGATTTGCTTTCTCAGGCCAGAAAATGTTTTTAATAATAATAATAATAATTCTGTATTTTTCTTGACTAAGACAACATAGCGGGAAAGGTACAAAAGTGATGTTACTCAGTCTCACTCCTTCAGTGTTCCTGCTCAAAAGATGTTGCCCTTTGCATGTAGTTGTATGAAAACATGGGGAGCAAAGGACAGTCCTTTGTGGCCAAGTTGTTCATTGTAATCAATATTATTCATACTTCCCTGGCAAGCAAGAATGTCTGGGTTTTTCAAGCAGATGGCATTGGGATCAGCCAGGCAGGCCCCATTTCTGGCTGGACCCCATTACTCTTAGCCTGCCCCCAATCTCTCCCTCCTGCCACAAACCAGCATCATAAGACATCTTGGTCTATAAGGTTGTGCTGTGAAGGGGAGGAGCCTGTGGCATCATTATCAAAAGTGACAGTTTTATTGGTGCTTTGGCTGGAGCTAAGAGTCCCTGCTGTGGCATTGACTTCTGAAGGTTGGGTTTTGAGAGCTGTTTTTCCCCCCACAAATCTACGGAAGATATTTATCAGAACACAAAATGGGCAATGAGGCACAGGGCAACGACAGAGTTCATACTTCTTCTGGAATTACACTAACTCTAGTTAGGAAGTCCCTCAGCACAACAGAAATTGATTCCTCCATACAAAATGCAGAGAAAGCAGCTTTGGCTGCAGGAAGCCAGCTGACTTTGGAGTAACAGTAGGAATTGGCGCTTTGTGCTGGGAAGGAGCCCTGTCCCCCTGCCGCGATGAACAAAGGCATGGCATGCTAGAGACTCACACAAACAGCTGTAATCATGGACATGAAACATTGCAGCAGTCTGCTCAGCAGGAGAGAGCAGAGTTTAAAAGCCCCAAATGAAAGCAGATCTCCCACCTTAATTTCTGCTGCTCACAGCCAGACATAATTTTGCATCCTGACTCACTTGCGGACTGTGAAGAACAGTAAAGGCAGAGCTGTGTAGTGGGCATAGCTCACCAGGAATTCATGCAGAGGTTCTTTGCTCACACTTTGCCTGCAAATGTTTCAGCAGTAGCAGAGATACTAGGATCTGACAGTGTTGGCCAGTGTGATATTGTGGTAATTGTGTCAGGCACAGACAAGGGGAGATCTAGGGTCAGTTCCCCACTCAGCCATGAAGTTCACTAGGTGGCCTCAATCTAGTCATGCTCTGTCAGCCTAAACTGTATTGCAGACTTGTTGTGAGGAGAAACATTGGGGTGTGTGGGTGTATGTCCCTTAGGTTCCTTGGAGTAACAGAAGGGTGGGAATGAGATAATAAATTAAGCTGCTAGACTGCTTTTGTTGCATTGCATATTGCATAGAAACAGGAGGAGGAGGAACAATACCCGAAAAGGCCTGCCTCCACCAAAATGACACTTCCACACCTGGAATATACCCTAGGCCAAAGGGAGACAATTGCAACAATGTGGTGATGGGGGTTTTCCTTCCTCTTCTTCTTTTCTCTGCACAGAGAAATGTAACAGAAAAGGTAACAACGTGCTTAGTAAGAGTGGCAATCATGTTAGCTACTGTTGCTGTTCAACTAGATGGGGGAGCAGCCCTAGAAACTACACTGAGGACTCAGCTATACAGCAGTAAATAAAATCTTTTAAGTGTGTTATAAAGTGCAATATACAAATGTGACTCTAGATTGCAATGGTGAGCTATGACAAATTCAGTATATTTTTCAATTTTTTTTAAAAAAAGCACTTTCACAGCGTTTTTTTATATGTGTGTAGATTCTACCTGAGTGCATAAAACCACCGAAAGAGGAAACGAGCATGCCAGCAATGCATATACAGGCCACAGGAAGAGGCATCAATGACTCTTTGTGTAATCAAGAAAGTGCATGATCTAGAAAACAGGAACAAGCACACTACATATGTGAAATTAAGGTGTTTGCCCACTCCTGTAATGTGCATCACTTTACACTTGCTTACACTGAATTGTATTTCCAATTTTACTACTCATTCACCCAGTTTGGAGAGATCCTACTGGAGCTCTTCACAATCTTGGTTTGCTTTCTTTTAACCACCCTAAACAATTTGGTATTGTCAGCAGGTTTCCTCACTGCTCCTGAACTCTAGGTCATCTATGGACAAGTTTAAAAGCACAGGTTCCAATGGTGATGCTTGGGAGCCTCTGCTTTCTACATCCCTCCATAAAGAGAAGGGTCTATTTATCCATACTCTCTGCTTCATGTTTCTTAACCAGTTACTGATCCTCTCTTATTCCATGGCTGCTAAGCTCAGGATTCTGTGGTGAGATGAGGTACTTTGTCAAAAGCTTTCTGAGAGTCTATCTCTATGCCTGTTGACATTATTGAAGAACTCTGATAGGTTATTAAAGCAGGACTTTCTCTTGTGGAAGCCATGCTGGTTCAACTTCAGCAAGGGTAGTTCTTCTGTATGGTTGGTAATTTTGTAGAACAATGTTTTCTACCAGTTTCCCCAGATGTTGAGCGAACCAATCTGAATACCATATGAAAAGTGGATGTTACATTGGTCACTTTCCAGTTCGCAGGTGTGGAGACTGATCTTAGGGGCAAGTTATGTGTTTTTGTTACAAAGTCAGCAGTTTCACATTTGAGTTCTTTAAGAACTCTCAAGTGATGGCTACCTGGATGCAGTGATTTGTCAGCTTTTATTTTGACAAAAAGACATTGAACGTCATCTCTTGACATCACGATTTGCCTCAGTTTCTCAGACTCCCTTGCTGTGAAAGTTAGGCACACGGATGTGCCTTATAAGTGAAGACAAATGCAAAGAATTAATTCGGCTTACTTCATAAAGTTCACGTAGGATAGTGGTTGATCCACCATTCAGAACAGATGGGAATCAACTTTACCCCAAGTATCTAAGTGGAGATGGCTAATTTAAAGGGGTTGTGCTTAGAGACTGGGGCAATTGTTCCACAACCCCATGAAGTATTATGAAATCAATATTTGCCTTCATATCACAGGGCTGATGAGTCTCCTCTTGAGCTAAAATCAATGATCCAATGCAATGACTAGATGTTAACTGAGGCCAAGCAGTAAAAATGAAAAGCTCTGCAAGGCTCATCACCAACTTGGTAAAATTGTTAGGTGCACTGATTTGTTAAATAAAGCATCAAATTATTCTGAGAGAAATGGTGTACACTTGTGTGTGTGCATGTGTGCTTGTGCTTATTTGACATTTGTTCCAGTTATTCATTTTCTGAAACATCTTGCATACTATGGAGCTTCAGCCAAGAGTATGAATTGTAGTATGTAGAATGGAAAGGCCATCAGCTTTGGAGGCAGGGTGTCAAAGCAGGGTGAACTATTGTTATTTTTTAATTGCTTTAAAATTTAAATATGCTTTTATTTTTATTCTAAGTTTCCGTTACCTTGTGAATAGCAGAAACTTATGCATGTATATTCAGTAGCAAGTCCCATTGAAACCTCTCAAGTAACTCTGTAATTCTATACACACTTAGCTGAGAGGATGAGGAATATTTGTGGACAGATATACATAGGACCGCTCTATTACATTTCAGTGGAAATTACTCTCAGGTACGTATGGCTGCAGCCTTAATGCCAGCTACACACCCACCCACCACTAGCCTGCTTTAAAATGAAATCTGAGTTTAATGCAAATAAATATGCTAAATATTTACACTAATAATCTCAGAAAATTCAATTGATAACTTTCTGTGAAACACATTGAATTAAAGGTCAAATAAGCAGGACAGGAGCGTAACAGAACTTTCTGATTTGGGATTCAGAGGCATATTGTCTTGACACTGGAGCTAGTACTCAGCCAACATGACTAGTAGCCATTGATAGCCTTTTCATGGATTTGTCTAATCCCCTTTTAAAGCCAACTGAGTAGATGGCCAGCTCATCTGGCATTTATTCGTATACCATGGAAGAAAACTGATTTGCCCAATAACCGCCAGCCCTTGCTTCTGGAATGTTATCAGTTTCAAAGGCAGTTTGCCAAGTGATGGGGAGAGTTGTGTTGTTTGGGGGGAAAGAAACTTAAAACTCCTCTGTGCTCTCTGAACTAGTTTTACTCAGGATCCTAGCCTTAGCCTTCAAGCAAATCATCTGGCTTAGTCTGCTCTCATGTGGACAGGAAAAGCCAAACTAAAATCTGTGAATTTCACAACAGATCCCCTTGTATCTAAATGGTAGGTACTGTATATATTCTGCAGTACATGTAGCCTCACAGTTTAGGGTTTTGGATTATACTCCTAGGTAGTATGAATCATTTATTTAATTGCAAACCAGTGCTTTAATTAATAGCACATCAAAATGATATATGAATGATCTAACTTACTACTTCTTCATCAAAGCTACCAGACCTTTGCTCCAAGTCATCATCAACCAAAGCACAGAAATAGCCTTCTTATGTTCATGTGGGTTTTAATCCATGCATTGGCTGGCAAACTAATGTGCAGGGGGGAAACAAACAAGAATGAGGCTGGAGCACAAACAAACACAAGTAGTCCCAACTGGGTCATTGAGCTCTTCCTGTTTATTGTTAGTATCAGTGGCGTGTGAGACTGGCTGGCCTTTGGGATACAGGAAAAACTAAAACTGCTGATGAGTTTCATTGCCATCAGAGGCATGGAAATTTCACGCTGCCCAACAATTTGGTCCAAAAAGGACATCATAAAGCAATGAGGAAGTTGAGTATGGCATGTTCAGTCCTCACCTAATCTTGGCACATACTTGTTAGTATTACCGTATTCCTTTAAGGTTAGCATAGTGTTGAAGAAAGGAGACAGATTGCCTGCACGCTCATAATTTTGAGGTATGAACACTCACTGTTTCCACAGTCTCCTCCCTCCAACTTCTTTGACTGATCACTCTCACTGAGTTGGTGGCTGGAACTGAAAACTAAGATTCATTCATGAAGGAAAGGATCCATTCAAAAAAGACTCCTCCTCTCCTCAGAGAAGCACGACCACATCAAGTGGGTAGAGAAAAACTCCAAGCTTGTCATTTGATCATGGCTATGCCTCTTCCTAGGTTCAAATCAAGCATACATCTTCATTCTGTATCTTCTTTGTAGCAATTAATAAGTGCACCAGAGAAAGAGAGAGATGTTGTTTTCTACATATATTGTTTTTCTGCTCCCATGGCCTGTTCATTTTAATCACTGAGCTTATTTTCTCGTCCTCCTGCAGATAATTGCTTTTGCCTCGCTTTTTTTCATTCTGGCGTCCATAACAACCTTTTGCCTGGAGACTCACGAAGCCTTCATCATAGATGTTAACGTGACTGAAACACTGGTGACGGGAAACACAACCGAGACCTTTGTGATGCGAAAGCTGGAGACGGAACCCATCCTCACCTATGTTGAGGGAGTCTGTGTCCTGTGGTTCACTCTGGAGTTCCTAGTGCGCATCGTTTGCTGCCCAGATAAATTGGTCTTCATCAAGAACCTTCTTAACATCATAGACTTTGTAGCCATCTTGCCCTTCTATCTGGAGGTGGGACTCAGTGGCCTGTCATCCAAAGCTGCACGGGATGTGCTGGGCTTCCTGAGGGTAGTACGTTTTGTTCGGATCCTGCGGATCTTCAAGTTGACACGCCATTTTGTGGGGCTTCGGGTACTGGGCCATACACTTCGGGCCAGTACCAATGAGTTCCTCCTCCTTATCATCTTCCTGGCTCTGGGGGTTTTGATCTTTGCCACCATGATTTACTACGCTGAAAGGATTGGAGCCAAGCCATCTGATCCGAGTGGAAGTGAGCACACCCACTTTAAGAATATTCCCATTGGATTCTGGTGGGCAGTGGTGACCATGACCACATTGGGCTATGGCGACATGTACCCCAAAACCTGGTCGGGCATGCTGGTGGGGGCTCTTTGTGCCCTGGCAGGGGTGCTTACCATTGCCATGCCTGTCCCAGTTATTGTCAACAATTTTGGAATGTATTATTCCTTGGCGATGGCCAAGCAGAAGCTGCCAAAGAAGAAAAAGAAGCACATACCTCGCCCAGCGCCGCTTGACTCACCAACGTACTGCAAGTCAGAAGGCAACTCACCCCGCAACAGCATTCAGAGTTATAACAGCCCTCCGGCAGCTGCAACGGCAGGGGTGATGGAGAGGAAAAGATCAGGTGAGGTGCCAGAGCGAGAAAAATTGGTGGTGGGAGACTAAAAGCAGCTAAACACCTTGCAGAGACTAAACAGGCAGATTCTCCATCATGTATGTTCCTCCATTAGGCCACTCATATCATGATGCTGAATTCATAGTTAAAACAGAGGTTGGCTTTGAACAATTCTCTCAGCACGTCCCTCTATTAAATGTTCCCTTTTGTGTTTATGGATCAGGGTAATTGGATATGTTTAGCCAAAGCTTCTGTCTTGGTCAGCATGTCAGCATGGTCTCATTGTACCAGCTAGATCTTGAGCCAAATTCTCTACTTTGATGTAAATGAGAAGTAGCTTTATTCAACGAATTACTTTGTTCTCAATATCTAATGGCTCCATGTAGCATCAAAATTAGCAAGTGTTTGCTGTGGGGGACAGAGATGTGTTATGATCAATGATCAAAGACATTATGATACATTTTCACCAATGGCCTGCTTGCACTATTTATTTAATAAATTTATTTTATTAATTAATTAAATTTCTATACTGCCCCTCATCTAAGGATCAGAGGGCGGTTTACAATATAAAAAAGCCAAAAATACATAACATAGTAACAAACAAAAACAATAACCCTGCCTCCATAGTATAAAAGGCCATAAATTATTTAATTAGCTGAAGGCCTGAGCAAAGATATGCATCAAAGGCGCCAGGTGAGCCTCCCTTGGGAGAGCACTCCACAAACAGGGAGCCACCACAGAAAAGGCCCATTCTCAACTGGAGGGGACACATGAAGAAGGGCTAATCTTCCAAGTGTCAAATCACCAACAGAGATCCCTAAACTGCTGAAGAGAGTGAATCCTAAGCAGAACTACTCTCATATCTCAGTGTCCAAAGCCACTCAGTATAATGTGAAACACAAGGAAAAAGTACCTTACATGGATCACTGCAAGGGGCAGTGTTGGCATGCCTCTCTCAGGGGAGTTGTGCAAGCTTCTCCTTTGGACATTACACCAAGGATGTCCTTCTTTTTGAACCTGTGGGGACCCTGATCTGGATCATGTCCAGAGGGGAGAGCTAAGCTGTTCCCTTTATGCTGTTTTCCAATGGAAAATCACCCCCCAAAGCTGCTATTTGCTGCTGTTAATAGTGCAGAAAGATTCCACAGGGAAATAGTGGGGGTGGGGGGTGGGAGGCATAACAATCCCCTGCTCATGGTACTTCCCAAGACTGCTTTGAACCATGGGATTCAACTAGGTTAAGCAGTTTACGCAGTTTGACCATGTAAAAGTAAAAGAAGATGCATGGTCTCTTGCCCATCAACTCCCAATATCGTGAACCATTTGACCTTTTCTGTAGCAACAAGTATTGATAAAGGGTCTCTTCAGCACCCCAGAGTCAGCCGAGTAGCCCTTGATATGTGTCATGTGTGTGGGAAGCTTGTGAACATGACAGGCAGGTGATTTGTTTCTGATTGTTGCAGTGCTTTCCCCTTTCAGCAGCTGGCACTTGTTGTTAAGCGAGGCATAGTTGCTGCCCAGGGCTGTGGCTCTCTAAGGGATTCCTCTTGCAGGCTCCTGTCTAGCAGTCGGGAGTGCTCTGGGACCTCTGTGACGATCCTAAGTGTACAGCACCACTTAAAGGGGACGAGAGAAAGAGAGCTTGAGAGAGAGAGAGAGAGCTTGAGAGAATGAGAGAGAGCAAGAGAGCTTTATTGTCCTTTGCCACAACAGAGGCAAGAATTTGCGTGCAAGAGCCTTCCAGTAAATGAGTCCTAAAGAAACTGAGGTGGACATGTGCCCATGCATGAATGGAACTCAGAAGAGCATTGATAACAATAGAACTGGAGCATCTAACACCCGCTGAGGATCTGCCTTGAATGGATTCTCTCTAGATTTAGTAATAACAAAGGGCTTTCAGACACAGGTCTCAGGAGGATGTCCTTGGCTCACCCTCCACATCACTGCTAGCAGGAAGCCAGCCTTTCAATTTGCTTCTTAAAATTTCCCACCTTGTTAGTAGCCGGATAATGCTTTTAGGCTGGCCTGTCAAAGAGGCTCAATGGCAGGCTGATTGGAGCCATTCTCAAGTGCCAGTCTTGCCACCCAGGTGAAGGAAGCTGTCCGGATATGCAAGCTCTGTTATTGGCAGAAAGTTGGACCAGGTATGACATAACTGGCACTAACTGGCCTTCTTGAGGAATCCAAGAATGTCAGAGCATGGTGGCTGAGCAGCTCACTTGGTTTCTTCAGACTGTGGCATTGGTATGAGGTAATGAGTAACACACTTGTCTATGAACTGGAACAGGGCTGTAGGGACGGAATGTAATCAGAGGCATCTCATACAAGGCTTATCAAGTACCTGATACAGTAAGCTGCTTGCAGGAGACTCCAGTTTCTGTAGAAACCATAGAGCCATTGCCATAGCAGTAACATTTGCTATATTGGCAGGCAGTTTCTGCAAGCGCGCTCTCTTTCTGCAGACTTATGGGGAGGAGTTTAATGTAGCACTCAGCAGATTGCTCTATCAGTGCAAGCATTTATATTTGCCTAATGGAACCATCTGCCCTCTCCTCTCCTTGTGCCCTATTCTGGGGGTCCTAAATCCACAAACCAATTGGGGATGTGGGGCATGTGAGGGCAGAGAAGGGTGGTGGGGGAGATGCTCCATTGTGCTAGTGGAAGCCATTGTGTTATAGAGTCAAATCTTCCATATGCATTACATTTTCTATAGCAGACAGTATTTGATAACAGTATCGGGGAGCATTTGGTATGGCCTGTTTTGCAATGGCGAAAGAGCTGAATGCAGACCACCGCTACCCCCAAATCTGAAAGTCAAGAATTTGATCCTAGATTGTATTGGAAGCATCCCAGGATCATGGCCGGACCATCAGATGGTATAAACTTGAAGGGAGATGGCGGGAGAAGAACGACTGCCTTGTCTCCCACAGCACTGAGGGACTTAAAGTACATGACTGAGTTGCAACTTGGTAGGTCTAACCTGTGCTGCCCATGTAGTCTCCACACTACGGCTGCTGCTTTAGCATCAAGAGAGCATTACCCTTCCCCACTCCCCTCCATACTGTGCAGCTGCCATATATGCCTCATCTTCTCCAAGGACCTTTGCCGTTGCGCTAATGTCCAGTTTGCATCTTCTCAGAGGCATCCTGTCAGCCACTGTTAGAACAGGATGCTGAACTAGATGGACCACTGGCCTGATCTAGCAGTCTCACCTTATGTCTACCTGCTTGCACAACAAAACCCTGCTTTTGTAATGGGACTTGTGGCTTCTCTTCTTCCCCTCCAACCCCTTGCACGTATCCCCAAATCTGCACCGGAGCAGATTTTGTGGGAACCTGAGGGAGAAGTGCAGGGGAGAAAAGGAAGGAGAAGCCCTGCTGCAAGCATGGATGCGCTGATTATGCTATGTTGGCTCTCTCAGTAGCACATGCCTAACATTTTCCAGCAAAGTGAAGATTTACTTCAGATTCACTGCCTCTCTTTTTCTCTACAGAACTCCTCAGTTTGCAAGGCAAAGTCTCCCCGCCCCAATTTATTGCATTTATATTCCATATTTTTCTCCAAGGAGCTTGAGATGGTGTACATAGTTCTCCCTCAGTTAAATCCCACAGCAACGCTGTGAGATAGGTTGTGAGGCAGTGACTGGCCCAAGGTCACCCAGTCAGCTTTATGGCTGAATGGGGATTTGAACCCTAGTCTCCCAGGTCCTAGTCTGACACTAGCCACTAGGCCGGCCCACCCATTGCTTCACACACTGTGGGGAGCAAACTCTCACTGAGCCTGCCAGAAGCTTTTCCAGAACCTTCTGTGTTTTTTGCTTCTTTGCCAAGCAGGTACAGATCCAGTCTCCTCCCCCCCAAAAAAACACTTACCTCTTTGCCTATTCTTTCTCCTTTCCAAGATACCAAGCAGAACGGCGATGCCAACGTGGTGCTGTCAGACGAGGAGCAGCCTCTTTCGCCGCCTCACGAGGAGAACCAGCCCATGAGGCGCTCCAGTACCAGGGACAAAAACAAGAAAGCAGCTACCTGCTTTCTTCTGAGTGCTGGAGATTTCTCTTCCACTGCTGATGGTGGCATCCGGAAAGGTATGAAGGAGACCTAGAGGCAAGCGCCGGTGGATGGAGGGGAGGTTGTGGACGAAAGAAACATGAGGCAGGAAACCCAGCTGGGCTGCTTTGCAGTCTTTGTCACAGCTGAACAGGGAAGAAAATACTGCTTTTTAAAGCCCACAGCCCTTCATGCTCTTTTCCTGCCTGTGATAGAGTTGGGACGTGGAGGAGGTTTATATAAGTCTCCCAGTGACGCAGTAAACAAAGGTTGCATCCACCCCATGTATTTAACCACTTTAGCAGTCACAGCTTACCTCCAAAAGCACCCTGGGAACTGTAATTCGCTAAGTGTGCTGGGAATTGTAGCTTTGTGAGGGGTCTCCTCTCAGCACCCTTCATGAACTGCAGTTCCCAGGATGCCTTGGGGAGGGGAGGCACATCTGTTAAAATGTCCTAAGAGTGCTTCAGAAAATGGCATGGATGTGACCAGGGCAGCCATGACATCTCCTTCCCTCTACCTTCTTGGTCCTGTCAACAACCCTCCTCTGACACCTGCTGTGGCAAGCAAGACTCCAGGTATGGTTGGGAAGAGGATGGAGGGCAAGATCAGGGGGGTAATGCATGAGAGAAGCTGTAGCTGCCTTGCCCCTCATGGCAACAAGAGATTTCAAGGCATATGAACACTCGGGCTGCGGCTCCCTTTGCCCACAAGAAGCAAAACTCTCCTCTTACATTCAGGTAGCTCATCAGAACTATCTTTAACCAAAGCCACACCTGGTTTGTGCTTCTGTTCCATCTCCAACTATTTAGGCTATGTAACTCATGTCTTTGGAGCAGATTTGTCAAGGTGTTCAGGTTGGGTTTCATAACCTTCCACCCCACCTCCTCCTTTCTTTCAATTTTCATCAGACTTTGAGAGTGGCTGTATTTGATTTTACTTTTCTTCATTTCTTCATCCATCTGCCCCACCATATGTCTACACCAGAGCCCCTCTAGAGATGGTCCTTCACAGTTTCTTTCCTCATGGTTTGTTGCCCCTTGTTCTTCCTTGATGTCGCTTTAACTACTCTTTGTGCAATGCTTGCCTCTGTGTGCTTCCTCCTCTTTGACCGTGGGCTGTTATTTTGGTTAATAGCTATTTTACATGCTGAAGAGGCCCAAATAACGCCTATGTACTCTTACATTTGCATTGAAGTGTGAAAAAATATCAGGTTGCACGCAGCCTCCATCTCTGAGAGAATATAGAAACTGTTGGAGCTGTATAATGTCCTGAAAAACAAACAAATAAAATGAGGTGTCTGCTTGTAGGGCAGAGCATGGGGATGCATAGGTAGAAAGAAGAGAAACAGTGAAAATGGGGGAGAAATGAGACAATAGGGTGAGGACATTGAGAGAGATACATACACACAAATATAGGCAATAGTTCTGGAAAGTCAGTAGCTGCTTAACTGTGGTATCAAATTTCACATGGGAGGGGTGGGATCCTTAGAATTGTTACATTAATCAGAACATTTCCAGATCCACCAAGCGTCTCCATTTTCCAGGGACAGTCCAGGATTTACAGAAGCCACCTCGGTTTCTGATCTGATCCCAGAATATCTTGCTTCTCCTTAGAACGTCCCTATTTCCATAGGAGAAATGTTGGAGGGTATGGAGTTATCTAACCCCCAAGCCATTCGAAGGGCAGTTTCTTGCATCTGTCCCTTACATCTTTCTTTCAGATTTGCCTTTGCATAGAGACTCAGGTTAAATGCATTTATCTGATTCCCTTCCACTTTATCTATTAAGCCCATCTACCTGTTTAGTTAACTTCCTTCGGTCTCTGCTCTATTTATTATGCCTGCCAGCCTTTATTCCAAATGGCTTTTTAATATCCCTTCCCAGCAATAAAGGCATATTTTTCTCTGATTTACAACTCTTGTCCTTGTTAATACCCCATGAGTTCAGAGCATTTGAGCTCTGATTTACACTAGCAAGTATAGGAGGAGAACAGTGGGTAGATTTAAAAAAAAGAGAAGCAGTTCACAGTAACTAGCCTGGGTAAGTTTATTGATTTCAATAACACCAGCAGTCAGCAGCTATTGGCAGTACTTTTAAGACAGACACAGTTGAGAAAACATAATCAAATAAGGCTGAGTCATTAGTATGAGCAGTTCTGCTGGCTCTTTGCCTCTTTGTTGAGAACTGAAAAGCAAGCCTTAGCTCAAGGACAGGGAGCCTGTGGCCCTGTTCTTGTTGCTAGACTGCAGCTCCCATCTTCCCTGATCATTGGCCAAGTCCAACAACCACTGGGTCCCCCCACAAGGTTCCCCTCCCTTCCCCAGCCGCTTAGATTTGAAGCCTTGTCAACACACAGCAGCAGTCATACCTGGGGAATGGCTTTGACCGGCCAGCTAAGCCAGGTGTTGGTAGCCAATGGGTCTCAAACCCTCGGTAAGTTAGGGACTTCCTCTGCATGTGAAGAAAGGCTCCAGCAGATGGAGCAGACAAGACCAATAGTGGGTCCAATGGTCAGGGAAGCTGTGTTTGCATGTGATGTAGAGGTAAGACTTGTCCACCTTGGAAGGTTGTTCATCTAGGACAGCGGTTCTCAACCGGTGGGTCCCCAGATGTTGTTGGACTACAACTCCCATCATCCCTGAGCTCTGGCCTTGCTAGCTAGGGGTGATGGGAGTTGTAGTTCAACAACATCTGGGGACCCACAGGTTGAGAAAGGCTGATCTAGTCTAGGAGAAGGAAAACTCTGACCCTAAACCTCCACTGCCTTGCAGATCATCTTTAAGAAAAGGCTAGGGATCAAACCCTTCACAAATCTGGAGTGGGATCACCAGATACTGCTTCAGTATCTGCTCATTCCTGTCTCCAAATCTGCAGGTCATCCTGTCCTGTTCCTGTCTGACCTATGAAGTTGACAGGGACCAGCATGGGGTGTGTAGCCTTCAGAGGTAGCATCCCACAGTGAACACTTGGACTTGTCCCAAGAGGAAAGGATAGGTGTCTGTCTCAGGAAACATCTAGCTGCATTCTCCAGTGCTCAACTGGGGTCATGAGAAGCTGGTACTGGTGCCACCTACCTGCAAAGAAGTAGCAGAGGAGTTTCCATGCTTTCATAGGATGGTGAGGTGAGCATCAACAAGGTTGCAACAATACTTTCATTTGGGACTGGTATCCAGATGGGGACTAAGAAGGGTATTTTGAGCAGGCTATTTAGATCATGACATGTTTCTATTGCTAGCTTATAACAGTCTAGTTGCCCCTACTCATCATCTGGAAAGGCCCTAACTATGGGATTTGTGGATTTTTTTAATTAATTCTCTCTCTCTCTCTCTCTCTCTCTCTCTCTATATATATATATATATAGAGAGAGAGGAGAGAGAGAGAGAGAGCGCTATATATTAATTACATATTATATTTTAACTATATTTAAAATGTAGATGAGCAAACCACATATGAGATATTTACATTTGATGTACAATGTAAATCACACCTTTGTTTCTGTGAGTGTAGTGGGTCTGTTGCAAGAAAGGATCATTTAAAAGCATACTGAGGGTCTTGGATTCAGTCCATGATGGGTCTCCTGTGCTTGTAAATAGTTCTGCAGAACCAGGAGTTATATTGGGTGCTGCTTCTCACAAGAGCAGAAGACTGTGGGCTGCTATTGATTCTGGCAGTCCTCAGCTGAGCTCGATGGTGTATGTCTAAGTGCACATACATGGATGTGGAAGTGAGTAATTGATCATGAGGCAATGCAACTCATTTCATGTCTCTTTCTCCAGCATTAACGTATGCCCATAAATCTCTGTGCTTCTGTGCGATGAGTGCCTGCACGCCGAACCTATGAAGTATTGTGATACCAAAGAATGATCTCAGCTCCCTTCCTGGTGGCCCAGATCTCTTTGTGAAATGCCTTCACGCAGTTCCCTGGCAACAAACAAAACCCATTTTTAACCACTTAGGGTGACTTCAACCAGCGTCTGTGTGCATTGCTGGGAAAGCTGCCTGTCTAGTTAAGCTGCACTCATAGCAATTAGCAGAGCAAACAAAGCAACAACAAAAACACCTTCTCACAACCATCTATTGCTTGGCAAATTTTCTTATAGTTGTTTCAGAAGTAGCTCTGGATCATGTGCTTTTTTGATATCAGTTGTCTATGTCTGGACAGGAGTTTCACTTGCTCCTTCTTGACACAGATATCAAGAGAGAAAATGCAAATAAGTACAGTACAATTGTATTCCAACACCATACTGCTTTTTTGGTTCTGGCATTTCCAGGTCGATGCAGGTTGGTTGTGAATTGGAGTCATGGAATCATAGAATTGGAAGGGGCCATGAAGGTCATCTAGTCCTACCCCCTGCAATGCAGGAATTTCAGCTAAAGCATCCATGTCAGAAGGCCATCCAACTTCTGCTTAAAAACCTCCAGGGAAGGAAAGTCCACCACCTCTTGTGGGAGTCTGTTCCACTGTGGAACAGCTCTTACTATCAGAAAGTTCTGCTTGATGTTTAGTTGGAATCTCCTGTCTTGTAACTTGAATCCATGGGTCCCTCAACCATTCCTCATAAGGCTTGGTTTCCAGACCCGTTATCATCTTGGTTGCCCTCCTCTGCACACATTCCAGCTTGTCAATGTCCTCCTTAAAGGGCGGTGCCAAGAACTGGACACAGTATTCCAGGTGTGGTCTATTACTTCCTTTGACTGGGACACTATACTTCTCTTGATGCATCCTAGAATAGCATTCGTTTTTGTTTGTTTGTTTTTGCTGCTGCTGCATCACATTGTTGATTTGTGTTAAGTTTGTAGTCTTCCAAGGCCCCCGGATCCCTTTCATATGTACTACTGGCAAGGTGTCCCTCATCTTGTATTTGTGCAGCTGGTTCTTCCTGCCTAAGTGCAGAACCTGACATTTGTCCCTATTGAAATTCATTTTGTTAGTTTTGTTAGTTTGATGGCATCCATTTCAAAACTAGGTCACACCATGGAAACAGCACAAACAGCAAGCACAGTCTGAAGCAGAACTGGGAAACCTGTGTCCCTCC